CCAAACGACAGACGACCAATGACCTTTAGTAAGACAGGGGTTTAGAGTCCAGGTGATCACTAACAATACCAAAGTAACATTTACCCCGGCATTTAGGGTAAAGTGACCAGATTTCTGTAATGACATCCGGAAATATCCAGGGGGGTGGGGGGTGCTTACTCCTGCTTTCTACCTACTCGACTACCATAATAACCATTGTTCAAGTCTACATGCAACATTTTTGTTCTCAATCATGAAACGCTTAAATCTGAGACACTTTCGGGGACAGCTTTAGCCGGCGACAGGTCATCCAGTACGGGGACTGTCCCCAAAAATCAGGGACATCTGGTCACTTTAATTTACGGCCAATCGTATGTTTTTATTAGATATTCAGCCCTTTGCTAATCCACGTAAATATTAGCTATATTTTGAATTGTTTGCGTTTTAAAATTGCACGCTATGACGAGCTAGCTAACCAAGCTATAGCCAGGGTGACCATATTCTGCATCTCCAAAAAGAGGACACTACTAAAATTTTGAGGGCTTCTCGGGTTGGGTCGAATGTTTTTTTTCCACGCTTCTTACTCAGTTAGTTCACGCTACGCAAACTCAAAACTTCCACACAAAACCCCGGACATTTAAAGGATTTTATAAACTCCCCCCAGATGACCCCCAAAAAGAGGACATGTCCGGGTAAAATAGGACGTATGGTCACCCAAGCTATAGCTATTGATAGCTACACTGATGTCAGACTGCTATTGCGAACAACAGCTAACAACGGCTAAATGTTACAACAGCAGCTACTTTTCCGACTTGTCTACCGGTATTGTTGCATCAGCCTACAACGCAGCCAGCGAGTGGCTAGGCATGATGGCGTAGCGGGAATCGAGTGGCGTCTAGTTTCTTTGGAGCATGTTGTCACCCCTTCCACCGGCAGAGTGATTATCAATCAGACTACCAGGGCTTTGGTGCGCGAAGCTTTGAAGTGAAAGAATGAATGGATGTGATGTTTTTGTGATAAAGTACAGAAATGAGGAAGTTCTTAACATGGTGTCCGTCTTTACGACACAGTAGCAGGGTAAAAAGAGGAAGCAGACATAATTTATGTCGAGGGATGTGATGTGAATGTCCTTGTGTTATTAAGTTTGTGTCAGTGCTTTTGTTACGGGGACAACATATAAAACATAAACAATTCATTTACTTTTATTCAAAAACAACTTTTCAACAAGTCTAAAGTCTATGGAGAGCGAAACCTGCCAAACCCGCGATTTTCTTGAATCAGTCACATGATACGGCCAGTTCCTGAGGCTTTGAACGTCATCACATACGTCACCAACACAAGCCTCATACACGCTTCGCCGAAAATATGTCCAGGATTACTCGGCACAAAAGGACACATCACTAGTCAAGGGGAAGGGGTAGACAAAGGGGTAGACTACCATGAATCTGGTTCTGCTCGAGGTTTCTGCCAGTTAAAGGAAGTTCTCAAGTGTTTCACTCGTGGTTGAAGGTGGGATGGAAGTCGGTCTGAGCTCAATCTGATCCCATCCTTACATTGGGTCTTTGTACACAGATTCTGATCCAGACTGGCACTTGTTGTAAATTGGCGTGACTTGTTGTGTCATGACTTTGTATTGGATCCTCTCAGTTGGACTCATGGATCAGGCCTCCTAGAGACCCATCCACAGATCTGACGTTGACTTCCTGTCACTTGTGCTTCATTATTTTACTGATCCTGAATTTGATGATGAAAATATTCAAACTGAGCTCATTTCTTTAAACCATAAGTGTGTTTTATTTGCCGTTTGTTGGTGATCACTAAGCGTCCCGTCTTTGGCCTGATCCGTCCACGCTCTCAGTCACTTTTTCAGCGGATGAGCGTCTCCTTCTTCTTCCTCCGCACTTTCTGCTGAGCTAAGACCGAGAAAAAGGGGTGTAAAAGGAAGAGTAATTAAGCCACCAGATAATCCTGACGACAGCAGCAAAAATGGCGATTCAGCTTATGGCCAGTAATTGTGGTCAGGACACTTTGACCTTACTCATGTGCAGAGTGACTAAGAGGAATGGGGGGTGGGGCAGGAGCATTAGTCCCAGAGGGGCAAAGAAAGCGTCTCCCCTCATGTAAAGAACATATATGTGATGGACAGTCTTGAGTCTCTGCAGCGAGTTCATGAGAGCAGTTACAGGATTAGAGTGAGAGTGACTGTAAGAGCTCGCCTGCTCGGAGAGTTTCATTTTGTTTAAGAGCTTTCTTTGTGGAGGACTGAGGTTTAAAAAAAAGAGTCACGCTTTATTCAGGTAAGAATGTCCAACATTTGTAACCCCGTGACACCCTTATAGTTGTAATCAAACACAAATTTCAACTTTGGACCTGTACTTTCAAACCTCAAAGAAACCACAGAACAGATTCAAATGACTGCTGTCTTATTTTAACTAAAAGAGAAAGTGAACTTTCTGGTTTGTTATTCAGAACGTAGCACTTATAAAAGGAAAAAAGTGATATTAATCAAATCAAATCGAGTAAAAAAAATCATTTTTATAAACGCAATCAGGCTGAGTATCCCAGAAATTCAGAGTTTCTATTATATTTTCATGTCATACTCTTCTCACAACCTTGACTTTGGAGAATAATGCTGCAGGCGTGGATAAAAAAAAAAAACACCTTTAAAATTATGCAAAGAGAGCTGATGGTGAAACGATCTGGATCATCTGAGGGTGCTTACATCTCTGCTTGTTTACATCCAGGTAGTTGAGCAAACAGCATCACTATGATCTGGATTCAGCCTCGGCTAGAGGAGAACAATAAAACAGAGTTCAGGTTACAAGAATTATCGTCCTCTACGATCGTGAAACATTTGTGTATGATTCGTTTACTCGTTTTTGGAAATAAAATCAATGTTACGGTTGTTTCCTGTTAGGTCAAGAGTCAAAGTGGAAATCAGCCACTTCAAATCAGTCTGGAGGGTTTAAACTCAGGAGCTTCTTCCAAACATTTGGAGGGAAACTGCTGCCTGCTGCCTCTCATTTGGTTCCTTGTCTTAATATGTTCTTTAATTATTGAAGTCGTTCCATTTGTACTTGTAAGTGGGGATTTCCAAACTCTGAGTTGGAAATTCATCTAGAACGCCCCCCTGAAGCCGGATTTCCGACTCGGAAAGTTGGACGATCCTCGCCAACCCCAACTTGACAACAACGTTATAATCCAATGACGCAATTTTCTATTTTGTGTTTAAATACGAAATGGAAAAATCTGATAATGACCAAGTTTATCCAAAAATTAAACCAACTAAAGGGTTAAACTTTATCTTAACTGTTCACCAGAGATGAAAAGAAAATGATATCAGGTTTTTTGACTCTTTTTACTTTTAAACTGTGGACTCTAACCATCATGTAACACATTAACAGTGTGTGCTACAGATAGTCTGTTAACCTTGCATTACAAAGAAGATCTACGTGACACAAACATCATCTGAATTCGAGGAAAGAAAGACACTTAGACGTTACTCTAAGTCACATCCTGAGGATGTCTCGGCACAGGAAACAATGTTTTGCTGATTTATGAATCAAACCTTTCCTTCCTTTGGTTACTTCTCATTTTCTCAGAAATTATCTTTTACTGAACTTTTCCACCAGCGCTTTCATTTCCCTTTATGTTCATTTCACACACTTTAAAAGGTCAGAAGATGAATATTATTCCACTGAAAAACGTGGGAGTCTAAGAAGGAAACAAGAGCCGCCTCTTAGACAAACGGGCAGATTATAACCGAACAAACAGGAATAAAGCAAGTCCTACATTTTATTTCTCAATGTGGTCGTAATACTCCGTTGTAGTTTAGACAACTTAACAGTTACCGTATTTTCGAACTATAAGGTGAACTTAATATCCTAAAATTTTCTCAAAAGTTGATGGTGCACCTTACTTGTTGTGCTTACTGACTGATTTTATGTGGTACGACACGCTCTAAAATCTATGTTGAAATGTGTCAGTACGACTTTAGTAAGCAACGAAGCCGCTCCGCTCAATAGATACTCAGAGCATTACGCTGTGTCACTACCTGACCCCCTGAACGGTCTACAAGACTGCCTGACTGCAATGTCTAAACTAGCACGAAGTACGCGCTAGCAACAATAAACCAATCAATGCGCCGATGCTTAATGCGCCTTACGATCCCATGCGCCTTATGTGTGAACATAGACAATTCACGGTGCGACATATAATCCGGCCCGAAAATCACAGTAAATATCACTACCCTAGTAGAACTACATGTTGGTTAAACAAATCATCGATATAGCGTCAACTTTGGCGGCTCTAAATGACAGTTATCTTTAGTTTCTACGCTGTAGTTCAGCTACCCGCCACTAGCTGGGGCTGTTGCTCTGATTAGTGGATACTACAGTGATGTTATAAAGCTCGGCTACCCTGGGGGGACCGTATTCTGAATCCCCAAAAAAGTACATGACTACGCGGGGGCGGAGTCACAGAGACGCAGGTAGTAAATTTTGTGAGTTTTTCAGGTCGGATCAAGTGTTTCTTACTCGCTTCTAACTCAGTAAGTCCACGCGACACAAACTCAAAACTTCCAAACAAAACCTCAGACATTTTAGGACAAGGTTGGACAGCCCCCCAAAAAGAGGACATGTCCGAGTAAAAGACGACGTATGGTCACCCTAACTACCCTGATGTAAACAAGCAGAGATATATTTGCTGACATCGGTTGACTGAGCGATGAATAACAAATACAGGCGTGTGGATGTGGACCCATAAGGAGGACTAAAGGCCGGTGGTGCTAGCTCTGCTAATGTTAGCCACACTGGACCTAGTTTACTCACAGACTCTTATATTTCCCACTCAGACTGGTGAGAGTGGACTGTGTTTTAGGTTAGCAGCTCTGTAGGGGAAGGATCTGTTGTTTTACTTTCACTTCCTTTTCTTAAACCTGCTGCGAGTTCACACAGTTTAACCCCTCATCTCTTCTGACTCTCCCACAGCCGTGAAATTCATCTGTGACTCAAGTCCGAACAATGAGGAACCTCCCAACAATCGATCCCTCTGAGCACAGATCCATCCGTTCATCAGAGGTGAGTTCATTTATGAGAGTACTCCTGCACACGTCCGGACACCCAGGAGTCCTGACTTCTTGGCTCGGTTGCACCTCGAGCTGTCGGGAGGACAGAGGGGGCAGATGAGATCTCTATCACCATCTCCTCCTTCTCATCATCATCATCAACACACACCCTTCACCCCCAACCCCTCCTTCTTCCCCCATCTGAGGTGTCTGGTGACTCCAGCCCGTTATCTTGCCCCTCCCTTCACCGTGGAGGAGAGGAAGAGAGAGAGAGAAAAAGGCTGCAGCCCACTACCACCATGTCCCCAGAGGCCTCCTGCCTGCCTGCCTGCCCGCCCGCCTCTCCTGCTGCTCAGTACAGCTGTGGCTCAGCACCAGACCTTGACACCAGCTGGGATCTCCACCCTGCCAGAGGATCCACAAGAAGAGCCTCTCTTCACTGGGTGAACTACACTGACACTCAACTCCAGCACCATCTGACTAAAAACCCTCTCCAAGCATGGCTGTGGCACCTCGGGCCCCCGGGCTTTTACTGCCCTTGGTGCTCGCCCTGCTCAGCCTGACGCCGGCGCCCACTCTGGGAGGCTGCCCAGCGGCTTGCCGTTGCTCTTTCGCCATGCTGCAGTGCCTGGAGCCCAATGGGATCGCCAGCATCCCGGCGCTGGCGCCGCAAGAGAGCGAGAACGTGACGGAGATGTGAGTATGAGGAGACACCTGCTCCGCATGAGTATCAGGAACCTTTAAAGATGATCCGACAGGCTGGTTTCTCTCACTATTTGTCTCGTCTGGCACTTTTGGTTGATGTTGAAAACTTTGGAGAGTCTCAGTTGCAGAGTTTTGATTTTCTTCTGGACTTTTTCTTGCTAAGATCAAGTTTAATTTTGGAGTTTCGGGTTAGGAAAACATTTACACCAAATCTTCTCTTCAGTAGTTTCAGTGAGACGGTTAAAAATGTGTAAAAAAACCTTGTTTGGTTTCTGGCCGAGTGATGGAGATAAAAAGTTTGGGAGTTGTTCCATCGACTAAATCCATCATGGTTGTTTTCCGTTGATTCGTCCTCCAACAACAGGTGCTTTGCTGCATGCTCTGAGGTGACAGGTGTCCAGACTTTCTTACTCATTTTCCTCTCAGTTGTTCGTTTGTTTGTTTGTTTTCGTGTGTCCACTCTTCTTCACTGAGAGATAATAACAGCGTCCAGAAAAGCAGCTAAAGAAAAGTCCTGAACACTGATTTGAGGGGGACTGTGGAGAGTTTGTTCTTGGGGACTCAGCTCCAGATTCTGCTCGGCGTAAAGTAAATCTGCAGCTATTAAAGACTCATCAGTGTGGCAGTAATTTACTCACTTTGGTCACTGGAAGTTAATTAAAGCAGGATGGTTGAATCGGTTTCCAATGATACTGGACGTCTATCACGGTTGTAGTGCAGCAGAGCGGACGATTCAAGTTTTACTCTTATGTCTGCTAAACTTTTAAAAAGCCACAAAAGGGTGGAGTTGATGTTGCTTTGCTCTCCATGTTGTTTCATATCTTATATTTAATATTTATCTTTCTGAGTTGCTGTCTTGCACTAATATTTGTGGATACGGTCGTGAACTTAAAGATGGTTGGTTTTAAAGATGTTTTGGTTGCAGAGTTAGTAAACAGCCCTAAGAAGAATTTCCCATTTGTGGTGCGATGATAAAGTCAACCTTATCTCATCTTTAACTTTTACATGTGAGAATATTACACCAGCATGTTTTTTTTTTACACATTTCTGGTTCAAGATTCGAATCATATCTTGCAGAAACTGTTTGTTAAACAAACTCACTTTTACCACGTCTGTTGCTTCGATTGTTTTTGATATATTTGATGTTGAAATCAAACCTTCACTTTTGTCTTTACCATAAGTTTGAGTGTCCCTGAATCTACTCATAGCCATGCACCTCCTACAAATGCAGACCTCAAACCCTGAGACTGCTCTGCTGGCTGGCTGGGTGGGGTCATATTCCCTGAAGATTATTTCAAATCCTCTGATGTTTCCGCTCTTTTCTTCGTTGCAGTAAATGCACAACAATCTGCTGCTTAACGTTTACCAACTTTAACAAAATCCGCTCACAAACGAGCAGAAAAAGAAGCCGAACCAGAGACGAGCAGAGAGCAGCACTGCCAACTAGGGATTAGGAGGAGTTTTACGAAGGAATGTAGACGCTGTGAAACACAAGAATAGAGCAAAGCAGTTGGGGCAACTAAGACATGAGTTACTACGTCATACCTACAGAGTAAAAACCCTTTTTCAGTAATATTTTAATCTGCAAAAGGTGATTTCTGGGCTCCAGTGAGAAGATAAACAGAAATCATCTGCAGACACTGCAGGCAGTCTGACAAAATCTAGAGATGGGAAGTACGGCTCTTTTTAGTGAGTCAGACCATTCGGCTCAGCTCACCAGGAAGAGCCGGTTCTTTCGGCTCCCAAACGGTTCTTCCTTTTACCACTTAAACATTTTCTATTACAGCCAAATTTAACGTTGTTTGGCTTATGATATATACGTATGCATGCACTCTTAAACAATTCAACATCCAAAAAATGGCTCACAGACAGGAAGAACTGGTTTGTTCAGGACCAACACATCACTGACAAAATCAACTTCCCATTAAATGAAAACAAGTTTTTCCCAATCTGAATATTCAAAATCCAACTGTAACATGTTTCTGTCTCAGATTATCATATAAATCAGATTGTGCAGAGTTGGATTGTCATATTTTATTAATATGTTCCATATGTAAGTGCAAACACAGGAAGCCCAAGTCCACGGGGCAAAAATACAGAAAATATATTAGATATACAAAAAGTCTAGAAGTAGAAGAGTGAACCCTCATGTCAACTGTGTTTTTAAACGCTCACATACACATGCATACAAAGCGACAAGAGAATGATTTAGTGTACATATTTACATATGATCTGAAGTGCAGGTGGTGGATGTAATCTGCTCTGATGTAAAGAGGATGTAAACAGTAAGTATCCAAGTAAAGAGTGGAGCTGTACTGCAAAATAATGAAATTTACGACAATAACTGGCGTCATTTTGCTCAAATCGTGGTCAAAAAAATAAATAAATCAAAGTTGTTTTTGGATGTGTGTAGGTAGGCTATGGTCTCATGTCCCTTTAAGACGCTGTCCTACATCAGAGATGTGACTCCACCCCATACAGTCTGTAACAAAGAGGGAAAGACAGGTGAGGAGATGGAGGACGGAGAGAAAGTTAGGGCGGGGGTGAGCAGCTTGTGGAGTAGTTATCGTCCATTTATCGTTATCGAGGTGAACTGATCAATATATCGTGATATTGATTTGAGGCCGTATCGCCCAGCCCTAGTGCAAAGAAAAGATTATACGATGCAAAATACAGAACCGGGTGATTCTGAAACAGTAGCAGCAGAGTCGACCCCTCTCCTTTAATATCGCTCAGCCCTGTTTTTTGTTTGTCTGCTCATGGCGTTGATTTTAACAACTCCAACTCCTGTGACGGCTGCATCCTGGCCAGCACAAACACCACCTCATGGACTCACATGTTTAAGTTACGGACGACCTGAGGCAATTATTTTTCCAGTTTTTGAGCCTCGGGTTGAAATTCCATTTCTGATGAGCACTGACCTGTGTGTACCTCTGAGGCTGATCTGACCGAGTCCATGTGTCCTCTTGGGTTCAAGTGGCGCTCGGAGAATGAAACGGAGGAAGCGGCTGAGGATGTGGAGTCCATGCTGGGGTTTATAGGCCACTTTCATCACAGCCGCACATGTCAGACTTTTGATTGAAACACCTTTATGGGCATGCAAACCCAGGAGGGGGGGAAAGAGCCGGAATTAAACTCGTCTAATTCTTTGCTTGAGTAAGACTTCTCGCTCGGGTGCAGCACGCCGGCAGCAGATGACTGTTATTTAAGGCTGGCTTTTTGAAACTTTGCATGGAAAAAGAAGTAGAAACTGACCACCTGTGATTTAAAGAGGGCTGCTGTATTATTATGCAACCCACCATCAGTTCCAACATGGAAAAGTAAATGTCACTCTCCGCACCACCATGCTGTTCTCTCTTTGTTCCTGGCCCTGAATCTGAGCAATTAGCACTTGTTAAGAGGGAGCTACATTTGTTCAAACGCTATTTCAGGGGAGCAAGTCAATTTACCGCCGCTTTCCTGCCTCTATAGACCTATACCCCTGTTTTCTCCTCCTCTGTCTCTCTTTTTTCTCTCTCTCTCTCTCTGTAGCTCAGGAGTATTTCCTTGTATCTGCAGCTCGACATGTTTCGTAGAGCTCAGGGTGAGGCTCGACATTCTCCCTGAGCCGCTCAATCAATAAATAAGCGGGACCTTCTCTGCCTCTGTTTACCGCGCTGCTCTACATGCCAGCAAACAACAACACTCTGCCATATTGGCCATGCGAGGAAATACAGCCGATACGTGGAACAAACAAGGAGCCATTAAGCGTGGAACAGGGCCCGAAATTCATCATACGCCGAGTTATAAATTCAATTTTGTGAATTGCCAGTCAATGCCCCCACCCGGGGAACAATAGATGATATACAACCCACTTGGCTCAATCCAATAAGTAAGGGCAATGGGTGATCCTGGGCCCACCTGCCTTGTAATCACATTATTGCTGTGTGGGTCAATCAGACATGAATAAAAAGGTTTGTGTGCTGCAGCTGACAAACAGAGAAGTGGATGGTTGAAACAATGCCACATGCTGAAGGAGGCTGTCATCGACGGGGAAATACAGCAGGCACTTTCTGACAGAGACACACCTCAACACTGTATCACCGGAGTCACATAAATCTATATAATAAAGACCCCAATTCAGGATTACTGAAAAATTCTCAGCAGCCGATCAGGAGCTGCAGATGATGGATTTTTCCGATGAAAATGACCCACAGAAACCATTAAAAAACGCCATACTCCTAATGTCGCCTCTTTCATGACCCCCCTAGAAAAACAATTTGGATGTCTGCGGTCTCCGGTGCTTGCCTCTGAGTTGCTCGTGTCTGCTTTAAAAGCACATTTTCGCCACTTTAAAAAATGTCACAGTCGCCCCAAAAGCCTTGAATCACAGTCACTCGCTCCTGAGCGTACGCTGAGTACCCCGACTTCACCTCGTGAGCGAGAGGTTGGTTAGTGAAATGGTTGGTGGTGTGGTGGTCGGTGAGTAAGTGAGTGAATAAGTGAGTGTTTAAAAGAGTGAGTGGTTGATTTGGTTTGTAGGTTAGTGACTGAATCGAGTGGTTGGTTGGTTTTTTTGGCTGGTGGTTGGATGATGGGAGGAAAGTTGACCGGGTTGGTTGATGGTGAATAAGGAGGTTAAACTCTGTTGGTCTGTGTCAGCTGGTTGGTTAGTTGGTTGGTTCAAAGGTTTGTTGGTTGACTATGTATCCAATGGTTTGTGTGTCGAATTGTAGGAGACAGTTGATTGGTTGATTAACTGATTAAGTAAGTTAGCTAGCATGAGTCAGTAGCTGCGTTTACAGGCAACATTTTCCTCAAAATGATTGAAAATAATCGCAATGAGTTAGTCTGATGAGACCTGTATACAAGGGGTGGGAATCACTACTGGCCCCACGATACGATATTATCACGATACTTCGGCCACGATACGATATTATTGAGATTTTTAACATTTTTTTAACTGTTAATCTAATTTAGCGTTTGTCTTTCCTTTATGTTTGTCTTATTTATGCTGTATTTTATTTTCATGTTGCACATCTTCCAAACCTAATATACATATATACATATATATATATATATATATATATATATATATATATATATATATATATTTTTTTTTTTTGTACTAACTTCCTCCTGCTCTATGGTGTCCCCTCTGTCAACCTCACTGGACAAACAGTTGATTTTACTTTTCCATTATCATAGATTTGACTTTATATTAGCGATTAATTTGAAAAAATCGATACTTGGTAAATGAGACGCATAAAATAAAGCGATCCATGTTTAGTTCTTGTTTACGCGGACCCTTCAGGTAACATTCATGTTTAATCTGACTATGTAATATTATAATTAAATAAGTAGAAGTAGCACACCTTTAACAGTCCTCTCAGTGAACGCAGGGTTTGTCTGACCTTTTGAGTTGTCTTTACATATTTTTTAACGTTTAGTTGGCGATGCTAAATCTTTAATACCCGTCACTAAAAACAAGTATTTTTGGGAAATAATTGGGTAAAAAAGAGACAGCAATGGCAGAAACAATCGAACCACATTGAGGTACTCTTGATAAAAGTAGCCATACAAATTCAACCTCTATCTGCCGTGTCTGACCTCCTTGGCATCCTCCTAAATAAACACACAACATAACAAAGCCGGCCAAGAGGGTCCACAAACCGCAAAGCTCACATAAGAGCTTAATCCACCGCTCACGTGGAAAAAATAATACCTTGAGAGATGCCGGGTAGAGGAGGCTGATGGAAAGTATTTTCCAGACACAGCTTACCTCAGAATTATTAGTGAGCTGTGGATCAATTCAGCACTCAATACAAGGACAGCGAGCTCTTTTCATGAGATGTTTGAATAGACGGTTGGATTGGACCTACCAAGGATCCTGCAGGAGCAAACTGTCCAGCCTATTCTCTGCCCTGCTTCACCTCCTACTGCCACATACATACAGTACATCTGTTGTCCATTTTGCTCAGGAGGGCACTTCTGTGACTCAATACAAATAATAAGGGCTGTTTTGAATGCAAAGGTCTTCAGTCGTCTCTGAAAACATCCCAATATCCTTGGGAAAGCCTTTCTTTCGATAAAACTGAACCCCCGTGACTACAAATAAAGAAGTTTTCCTTTATTTTTTTACTGATGCCTCTTTCTAATGCAGCTAACTGTGTCCACTTTCAATGAAGAGTGCTTGATGCTGCTGCTGCATCAAACCAAGGCTGTAACATACATCGTAGCTCCATGTAGCCTTGCAGACGCAAACATGTGGAAACATCGTATCCCTGCTGTCTCCCAGATGTCCTCCGATGTCTTTCCTCTTTTCTGCTATGCAGTAACTGAAACATGATCAACATATATCAGCTTCAACTCAAACATAAATGTTCAGTCGTCATGGTTTACAGCATACAAACAAAGAGGGAATTTAGCTGGACCAGACACTTGAGATATTATGAGCGTAGATGCTGCACTGCTGACTAAGACACGCCAGCGCAGAAATATATAGTCCTCATGATGGCGTAGGAATCCATTGGACATGTCCTCTTTTTTGGGGGCTGTCTGTCCTTGTCCAGGAGAGATTATAAAACCCTTCAAATGTCCGAGGTGTTGTATGGAAGTTTCGAGTTTGTGTCACGTGGACTTACTGAGTTAGAAGCGCATAAAAGACACTTGATCTGACCTGAAAAACTCAAAATTAACTTTGTTATATTCCGTGACTCCGCCCCCGCGTAGACGTGTCCTCTATTTGGGGATTCAGGATATGGTCACTTAAGGCCAATGGCTTTTCTTTTTCAAATGTAAAAACGAAAATGAGGAGACGAGCTGTCTCTTAAAGACCAGTAAGGAATCGGGAGACGAAAAATGGAAAACGTTTTTCGTTTTGATCATAAAAATCGGAGAATAAAAAAACAACTCAGTATTTGAATTTCTGTGATGTGGCTTTAAATGGAAATCGGGGATCAAAATACGTGCGCAGAAATCTTGTTTTTCAAGTTTTGTTCACTTTTTTGTTGTGTCCTGGAAGTTGTGACTTGGAGCGAGACTTAGGAGTGGGAAAGTTGCCCCCGCCAAGATGGCTGCCACGTAGGCAAGTCGCAAATATCTATATACATATCTGTGCTAACGAGAGCCAAAGTCTCGCACAATTTTCGTTTTTTCATTTGAAAACGAAAATCCGTTAGCGGCCAAGTACACGGACCCTGAAAGCACAAACTCATTTATAACTAAATCATGATTTCCCAAACCCATTACATTGTTTTGGTGCCTTAAAAGCTTTAGTATGTTGACATGAGGACCAAAATAGAAAAGTGGACTCTAGTTTGGACATTAAATTCTGAATATTTAAAAGTCTTGTGAGTTCTACCATCCATCTAAGTTGAACAATGACAAACAAAACTGCTTATAAACTCCCCCTCAGTGGTATTTTGTGTGTCCCCGGTCAAGGAAACCATGTGCATGTTTTGTCCATTTCTAAATGTTTTGTATCTTTTATTTCCTGTTATTTTTATTTAGTGTGGGCTCGGTTGGTAATCATCGCAACAAAAGGCTGCGGGTTGCAGCAAAATATGTTTACCTTCAACTTTTCATCCTTCTTTCTTTTCTCTTTTCATTTACCAGCTACATAGAAAACCAAGCCGGCCTGGAGAACATAACAGAAATTGATCTTGTTCACTACAGAGAGCTGAGGAACCTGTGAGTAACACTTCTTTCTTTCAACCTTGACGACGTACTGTAAAACCACAACAAGTGTGAAGGTTCTTCTTTGTGTCACAAGCTTAATAAAGGAAAAAACATGAGCTTTGAAGACACTGAGGTGTTAAACCTGGAGAGAAGATACTCAAGATGTTTTTCTTTAAAGCCTCATTGTCTGCAAAACAAGAAGAATCACCTTGTGTTCAGTGTCTGAGAAAAGAGAATGAGCTACTCAGGCCAAAAATCTTGATCTTTGATAATCATATTGAATCATGCAGAAAAATTTAGCTTTTTACAATGGGTGTGAATGTGATTTTGGGGATTTTAAAGCCAGCCCCAAGTGGATAGTCAAGGAACTGCAGTTTTTCGCACTTCTGCATCAGCTTCGTTTCGTGAGAGTTGAAGTTGCTCCTTTATTTACACCTGAGATGGCAAATTTGACTGTTTTTTTTTTTAGTTCCTGTTAGATAATTTATTAAGCTATGATGTTGTCTCTGCATGACAACCAGATTACAGGTTAAAACACTTCTTATGATTAAGAAAATAATGATGTCACTTCGCTAACTTGACTCATTTTGGCTGCTTAATTTACATTATTAGAAAAACCGGTGAAAGGTTCAGAAAATAAGTTCTTAAATTTGGTGTTTGTTGCTGCTGCAGCATTAATTTACCCTTCTATTCTTTACACACACAAAAAAACACGTCAAACAGCTTTTCCTTTGATGACACAGTTAATTAAAACTCCTGTGAGGAACTATCTGCTAGTGTTGACTTTGGCGCCCCCTGTGGACAAAAGAGGAACCTTTATAATGTTGCAAAATTCATGTCCTCCATATGAAGGGGTGTTAACAGACTCCTGTTGTGCTTTTATAGTTGATTTTATCACTCACAGTAAATTTTTGCTGTGGGGGAAGTTAGAAAAGCTGTTTCTTCAGGGACAACTTCTAAAATAACACCCTAGAAACGGTCACTTTTATCATTTATGATCTGATTTAGTTTCTTACGGCACAGAAACACAAAAATGTTGCCAATAGTCATGGCACTTAGCAGTTTTAGTTGTTGTTGAATTTATTTCTCTGACTTGCTCTTCTATTTTTTTGCTTAGAAAGGCTAAAAACAGTAAATCTTTTAAAGTGTTTTTAGACAACTCTTACTTTTCCTACATGGACGGTGTGGACTGATCAAGTGTTTCAAAACTTGACATGCAGGTTTCGGTCAGTTTCTCCGTCTTAAAAATTAATTTATTGTCGTTATTATGAAACCAAGTTTTTGATACAATGAAAGATTTAGTTTTGTTTTCTAAATGTGAGTAAAAAATGCTAGTTTTAGTATCAGGATGTGCATTTTAACATATAAACAAATAACTGTTTGGAAGTATAACCGTCAGATTTATCTTGTTTTCATTGTGTGTCTTGTTGTTTTTTCGCTGTGTTATGTTTCTTCTCCCTCTCTCCAGCACTGTGACGTTTTGTAAGCTGAGGCTCATCTCCGCCAATGCCTTCAAGGACAACCTCAAGCTGCAGTATGTGTAAGTGTCTTTGTCGATACAAAGAGGGTTGTCATGTTTTGACCTGCGTGTGGGTCAGCCTATTTGTCCATGTCACTCAGAGCTCAGATGGTCATTTATTGCAGCACATGTCACATGGAGGGAGGGCTTCATTTCCCCAAATCCACAGTGACTCAGTCCAGGTTCATGCAGGTGAATCACTCTTCTGCAGATCTGGTAAATATATGAGCTCATTTCAGATACTGAAACCACAAATTGGTCTTTCCTGGCAGAAAAAAGGTTAATATATGTTTATTCAAAATATTGACTTGTTTCTGCTCAGATGGTTCCTCTCATTTCCTGTTTACACCAAACACAAATACACTCCATTAGCTGAATTTTTATGATTTTTGGACCTCTGAATTCTGAGCGTTTGAGTGTGCAGACGGTGACGATCAGTTTGGCCTCCATCTGCAGATGAATAAACCTTGAGGAGTCCATTGTTGATGTACGTCACTGCAGGATCTATGTATGCTGATTAATGAGTGATTCGCTGGAGTTCAGATTTTAAACGCTTTAAACCCTAAATCACATAGTTGTTAGATCATTTTAAACTTATTTATTAACTTATTAAATTGGGATAAACAGTCAGTACGTTTACATGACACTCAAGAAAACTGAATTATCGCCTTACTCCGATAAAGACCGGACAACTGAAGTTCATGTAAACACCTTAGTCTGACTATAATCAGAGTTTGAGAACTCCGATTCAGACACCCAGATAATGTGATTGGAATTTGGTTTTCTCTACCATCTAACCAGCGAAGTCGGAGTATGATTGGACAATGCATGTGCGCGTGAGCCACGCCCCCGTAACCCCGTAACAAAAACGCCAGAGAAGAGGAGTAGCGTTCATCTCATCTGCAGAAAAAGTAGCGCGTCCATCATGTCGGACAAAAACAACGCTGCACGATGCTCCATCTTCTTGTTTCTCCAAAACGCCCAGCAGCAGTTGTAGACACTTCTGACGTCTGACACCGACCTGCTGTTGTTGTTGACGGTTGTATGGGGTCGGAAATAGCGCCGCTGAAAAGACTCATATCGCCCCCTAGTTGTGGGGAGGACACATTCACATCAATAATTTGATTTTCTTAGCTACATGTATACGAGGACAAGGAGAGAAGTCAGATTCGGTAAAAAATACGAGCTTAGTCCGATGAAGCTGTGCATGTAAACACACTGAGTTTGGGTCAACAGTCCAGGTCCAACAGGTAAAAACACACAAAGATCATGAAACTGGAGGCCTTGAATCCGTCTGCTCATCCGACCCTTATCGCCACCATCTTGTCCTCATCACTTTACCGACCGTGTGCAACATGTCTGATGTTGTTTATCTGGAAGACGGGCCGGTTTCAAAGACCGGACCGTCTTGAGAGGGGGGGGCGCGGTGGCAGATGTGATAGTAGGCGGCATGATCTCCAGAAATTGGAGAAGACATCCACCAGTCACCTTTTACTCGCTCACTTTGGCGGATTATCGACAACTGATGCATAATAAATACACTCCACTAAGGGTCCATTATCACTTAATCAATATTTCACTGAGGAGGGGGAGGGTGGCTGAGGAGTGGGGGGGTTTCTGTGTGACAGATGTGTTCCTGAGATTAGGAGGGACAGACTATAACAAACCTAAACAAGGAGCATCACTTTCCTTTTACTTCATTTTCCTTTTTCTCCCTCCTGAACTCGACCATCCTTCAGAATCACATCAGCTTTTAAAGGAGGATTAGAGAAAACAAGCCGCTGTTCACAAATCCCCTCCACCCCCCCTGTGGACCTGAGCAGGAATCGAGCTGGTAATGGATAAGCCCCAATGGCTAACCCATCTGACATGAACTTTTGGGAGCAAGGAAAACAAATAATTGAACCCTTGGCCCTGCCAGAGTGAATATGTATTAGCTTCCATGTGTGCGCTCCCCAGTGTGGCTTTCTGTCATCTTCTAAGAGGTTTTTATTTACAGTCTGGTTTCTTGGCGGTCTGAGCTTCACTCGAGACCCCCTGTGATGATATTTTAGTGGCCTTGGAGGACTGACAGGGATCTGCAGCATTTATCCATGACAGGATTCTGATATTAGATATTTAGATGAGGAAAAACTCTGTCTACCATGTTTGAATTTACATTTATTTTCAATATTAACCAAGAAAAAGGGTCTACGAGTCTATTCAAGGCTTAATGCTTACATGCTAGGAAGACATGTTGAGGTTTTGTTGCCCTTTAAAAGCACAATCAGGGCTCTTATGTGTTGGTCAAGATGCTATGATGGAGCATTAGGGCCACAATAAGAAAAGAAAACGTTTTAGTCGTAGCTAATAGCTATTCTTACCTGTTGTTAGTTGTTCAAATGAGCGCTGTGGAACATTTAGATAAATTGAACTTCAGTAGCGAGATTTCACAAACAACGAGATACCAAATCCTTTGGCGTTTCAGCATCACGTTGTCAGAAGTATCAGGACAGCTGCAAGAAATGCATCTTTTCCGCAGAAAGAACCAGGCGGACTTTTAGGGAATCGCTGTTTTTGAGGAGGGAGAAATGACTGGAGATGTCTGTGCAGAGGTTAAATCCCACAATGCAGCCGTTTATAGCAGTAGTTACCTCCGCCAAGGAGGTTATGTTTTCGGTAGCGTTGGTTTGTTTGTTTGTTTGTCTGTGAACAACTTTACAGAGAAAGTTACTGATGGATTGACCTGAAATTTTCACCAGAGGTGCGTCTCAGCCCCAGGAGGATCCCATTACATTTTGGTGGTGATCCGGATCGCCTTCTGGATCCAGGAATTTTTTTGAAGAATTCTTTATCATTGTGAGATAGGGCACATTTTGGAATTTTTGCATTTAACTCTATAAAAATGTCCAGAGTCTTTAGTCAAAAATGACACAAAAGGATCTCAATCAGGTTGATCCTGATCCAGACAAAATTCCAGATACTGTGATCCAGAACAGCCAAAAATAAGGGTGTCGTTGGAATTTTTAGTGCTGAAAGATAACCAATGGGCGGCACAGTGGTGTAGTGGTTAGCACTGTCGCCTCACAGTAAGAAGGTCCTGGGTTTGAATCCGGGTCAGGGCATTTCTTGTTTTAGGAACATTATGAACAGTGAACATACCAGTTTAAACACAAATAAAAGTTAATAAAAGACACGTAACAGTAAAAGTTTTGGTGTGAATCACAATATAAGGGCGGACATGAGCTGCTTGGCGGAGGTCTGCGCTCTCAGAGTGCTTTTCTGGTTAAAAGAGCAACTGCAAACTTTTCCTCCAAAATGTAAATCAGCAGAGTTTCTCCATCTTTGTATCTGGGCTTCATCCTACCTGTGAGAAATGTTTGTGACTCCGGACTAATCACCTAATGTACTGGACAGGGAGCAAACACTCAGGGGGGGTGTGCAGAAGGGTTTGTGCGTGTTGCTCCTGACTGGTGAGAAATATTTGCCAAGGTAATTGATCAGAGCCCATTTGGATGCATTAACGTTTTCCACTGAGAGTAACTCAGAGCAGGTAAGTATCGCTCCGAAAGTGAGCAATCAAACCACGGCGTGACTCAACTGCACAACAGTTCGGATTACACAACGACAGGAGCGACTCCAGTTTTTATTTGATTTCGGCTTCTTACACTCGTATATTCACGATCGGTGTCATTTCTTACAGGATGATTTAAAGAGATAGCATGATTGCACAACATGTATGTGCAACGAGTTGATTTTGCAGCCAGAGGAGTCAAATATTCAGTCTAATTCAATCTGAAGTGCAGCAGATCAGCTGTTGATAACATCCTCTGTTTTTTTAGGAACCTGGCATTCAACTCCCTCGAACACATCTCCTGGAGGGTGTTTCATTTTCTACCTCTGCTCAACCTGTGAGTAATTTCAAGTCCATAATGAGAACTCTCCCAATCACTGGGATAAGTTTGTGAAATCTGCAGGAGCTCAAGGAGATCTAAAGGAGGGAAATATTCGACTGATTGGGTCTCACGGTGACTGGGACCTCAGAAAAAGCACTGGAGTGTGCAGCTGCCTGTTATGTGTTAATTTAGGAGCACAGTCTGGGTTCAAAGCTGCAGGAAATTCAGATCCATTTGTTTCCCAAAGTGTCGTTGTCCGGTCACCGAGCCGAAGCATGAGTAAGAGTCGTCATTAGCGTTGGATCGTTCCATTTGAAATCTTAAACTCAGAGTTTTCTTGTGTTTACTTAAAGAGATATACCGGCGTAACATTAATTTAGGGTCAAACACACCGTAACACAGAGTTGGACACCCCCTCCAGAGATGAATGTTGCCGACTGCTTGCTTCTCTAGTTATAACAACTTTAGTAACGACCGCAGGACAGCAATACAGAGAGCCACGCACTCAACCAAAACGCCACTCTATAGCCAAATAGGACAAATAACAGCGGACTACAGCGGGGTTACGCAGCTCAAGGAAGAACATTTATGATCATTTCTTCATGGAAATACAATGAGACCGAGAGGTTAAGGCAGGAGAACTACCGCGTCTGCAGTGAAAAATGATTAATATGATTATTATTACTTCAAAGAAATGATAAAGAAATGATCATAAATGTTCTTCCTTGAGCTGCGTCACCCCGCTGTAGTCCCTAATGGACTGGCTTGAGGTCTCGCTACAAACAAGCGGCTGCTGGAAGAGAGTAGGTGAGTTGTGTTTAGTCTCTTTGCTAAAGAAATGAGTCAAAGTTAAAAAGATGTTTGGTGTCTAGTACTATGTCTGTGACCCTATATGTCCTGTTGATGAAGTTAGGTGCTGTTCTGAGCATTATTTGTGGCTATAGAGTGGCGTTTTGGTTGAGCGTGTGGCTCTCTGTATTGCTATCCTGCGGTCGTTACTAAAGTTGGTCTAACTAGAGAAGCAACATTCATCTCTGGAGGGGGTGACTAACTCAGTGTTACGTTGTGTTTGACCCCAAATTAATTTTACGCCAGAATATCCCTTTAAATCTAAAATTGAGTGAATTGTGTTCATCTCATTTTCTTTAATTTTCTCTTCAGGGTCTTGAGGAACAACCCCCTCGTTTGCTCCTGTGACCTTTTCTGGCTCCAGCAGTGGCAGCGAAGTGAACGGGGTGACGTGGACACTCAGATGTTGTCGTGTATCGCCAACGATCTGGAAGTTCCTCTCGACTCGATGGTGATAGACAACTGCAGTGAGTTTGCCTTCAGCTTTGACATTCAAACCCTGATTTTTAACGGTATAATACAGTTTTATCTGTTTATCAATGATAAATATGCACAGTCAGACATGGAAAACATTCAAAATATGATTGAATTAAAGAAACTGTGAGCGGATTTAGGACATGACAAAACTTGTTCCCTTGTCTGACCTTCAGTTTGTATCACTAATAAATAAATATTTGTATTTTTACAGATTTTCTAGTGAGAAAGAAGATAAAAAATTAAAATTTAAGACTTTCAGGATGATAATTTAATTTTTGTGTTGAAAAGTAATCATCTTTCAGTCCGTCCCCAACGACGAGAGAATTTTTTACATTTTCAGTCTCTTTGATAAATTATTTTGATTTGCAGAAAAAGGTCACAAAATCAAATACTAACAGAACTAAGGAACAAAAACAGGTCGGATAATCAAGTCTAGTCTTAATAAGACCTTTTGTTATTTGTCATGCTTTTATTTTGAAATCTATCTGTGATTCTCTCAGGAATTAGGCTTTTATTTTGAAGTATACATCTTAAGTTGTAGACCTTAAAGAAATCAGTCAAAAGGACGGTTAATAATGAAGCAGACTCAGCCCAGGATTGAGGTTTTAACCACATACAGTAGGACCATGTTGTTGCCAGGAAACATATAAGGAAGTTCTGCTGAGAAACGTTTGTGCTGTAGGTTGTTTTTTCCTTAAATACCTGACCTGATGCCTCATGCTGTTTCCTCTGCCGTTTCTCAGCTCTGCCCGAAGTGACGATTATCTCCAGATCCAAACCCAAGATCCAGGAGGGAGGAAACCTGACGTTTGAGTGTATCGTGACAGGAAGTCCAACCCCGAACGTGAGATGGAGAACCGAGTATCTCCACTCTCACTTCATCACAGAGGTACGGGAAAACACTCAGGACAAGAGAGTGTGTGTTTTATCTGAACCCGGACACTCAGGCGAGCATATACGAGAGCAAATTATGGGCGAAAGATTGGAGGGGTTCACGGTCAAAAAAACAAATGTAATAGACGCTGTAAGTCTGAAAGCACTCAGAGAGCGTGTGATGCACTTTCTGCAAACATGGCGATCGCCTGTAAAATCAGGTACAACAGCTCCACCGTACATTTGTACTTTTAAGAAGCATCACCAAGTTCAGTTTTTAAGAGGAGGATCGTTGTACTTCTAAAATAAAACCTAACTTCCAAAAAAGTCAGTGCTGCTCAAGTGTCTGCGGCTTTCTTTGTTCGATTTGTCATGTAACGGTTTTCAGTGGTTGAGAGGTTCGGACTCTTGGCAGGTCGGTTTAGCACCATGCTGTTGGAAAATATGCAGGATGTGGTTTACTGTTGTCTTCCTTGAAAAAGGTGCTGTTAGAATGGCAGCATATAAAACCCCAAACCCTGTATATATATGTATATTGTGTAGCGTTGATGGTAGAGTACCCATGACAATGCAGATGTCGAAATCTACGAGCTTTTTCTAATGTTAAGTTAGTCAAACTATTTAAAAGATGTTCTTCCAGGTGTAATGGGGCGCTCACACCAAGCACGAGTAAAATCATCTACTCGCTCAATTCGCGCGAATCTAGACGTGTGAATGAAAAGTATTTACTCGCTTCATTCGCATGTCAACCGTAATCCCAGCAGGATCAACTGATAGACAAAGGTTTTTATAATTTACCAGGTAATCCGACCTCCTCACTCACCTGCCTCCAGACGAGCTCCTTTTTATTCCGGTTTTGGTGATTGAAAGAAAAGGTATCATGTAATTTCTGGCACCAACACACCGACACCACCATTTTAGATACCAGTCAACAACCGTCTGTTTTCATACGTCACCTGGCAACCTTTGTGCTGATTAGTTATCACGAGGCGAATATCCGCTCAAGTTGGAACATGTTCAGCTCCCGCACAATTCCTGTCATTCATGCCACCAGAGTAGTATGAGCGACTAATCGCGTCTTTGCATTGACTTAACATGTAATTCATTCGCGTGAATGATTTTACTCACGCTTGGTGTGTGGAGACAGGTAGGGTTAGGGTTAGGGTTAGAGTCGTGTCCCTGACTCTATTTAATCGCAGCAGCAGAACATTGTTTGTGTTTGGTCTCTGGGTCTTGCAGTTTACTTTTACGTGCTGAAATTTAGAGCGATGGTGGTGACGGATGCTGAGGTATAGGGTTGAAAATGTGAGTGCAGCACTCGAACACCGTAGCACCAGCAAATAGCAAAGCAGAGGGAAAGAAATCCTGTCGCTTTAATAGACCGTGAATGTGCAGAGATGTGTTTCCATGTGATTACAGGGTGACACATGTTGAGTGTGAAATCAGCGCAGCTCAAGTAGCCGATTAGGTTAGTCTTTAAATGGGATTTTTTACTGTAAAGCCTGGTTTATGCTTCTGCACATACAAATACAAACACAGACGCGTGTCCACCTTGCCTGGTGTGAACCTCCTCTAAGGTGTATTTATGCATCAGGACTGCAAGCCCTGTGATTGGCCCACTGGGTAGCATTGTATTTCCTGCATTTACATGTCAGGAATCGCCTCCTGCTCGCCTTCTTTGCTATATTTGCAGCTCCAACTCCAACACAACGTGCTCAGATTTAGTCACCTTGTTTTTTTTTTAAGCACAATGAGCAGAAACGTCAATAAGACGAGCAAAGAAGTCACACAAAAGTCGCCAGAGTCAACACAAAAGTATGAACCAGGTTAAAGAAAAATCCACACCTCTTATCCTTAAACGTATCTAATTTTCAAAAGCTTTTATCGAACCCTTCTCAAGGCAAAGCCATACAAGAATATTGTCACCACGGCGTAACATCGAAGCCATAGAAAGGGTTTGGGTTTTCAGTCTGTGCCTCTTCTTCACACTTTTGTGAGTCCTGAGGTCTCAATCCTTTATCTCCAGATTCAGGACTTCATGTTTTCAGGATAGAATTTTCTCAATAGCCTCCCAAAAAACATGTGACCTCCTCCCCTCCTCTATTTGATCTCACTTTATTGATGCTTTCAACTTCAAAAATGCACTTTCACTCTCCCTGGCTTTTAACCGTGTCTGAGTGTTGTTGCTGGTGGCTGTTATTTGTCTGCAAAACCTTGTGGTAAGAGTGCAGAGTTTCAGAACTTCCAGTTTGGTTTCTTCTTCAGTAATTATCAGCAGACTCGCTTTGTTTTCGCTCTCACTTGACTGCGAAGTATTATAGATCATCTTGTGCTGTAAAAATAAAGTTTTCAGTGAAATAGTTTATCGATCCACAGCAGAGAAGATTGGGTCTGATTTCGTACCTTAAAGTGAGAGAGATATTGTTTATTCCATCAAATATACATACAGTACAATTTTAGACAAGAAATTCACCTACTGCTTTCTCCCTCACTCCACTTATGGCATGTCTTGAAGACATCAGAGTCTGGATAACTTTGATTTTTTAAATTTCAATGAGAGAAAAACAGAAGTGATGGTCTTTGGTCCCAGTGGCCCTTGTGAATCCCCTCCTTGGGTATTTTAGCAGACTATTTAAAGCCAACCGTCTCAAATTTGGGTTTTAAGATAATAATAATAATAATAATAATAATAATGATAATAATAATAATTCATTTTATTTGTATAGCGCTTTTCAAGGTACTCAAAGACACTTTATATAAAGCACACAATTCGAATATAGCAATAAGATAAAATAAATAAATATAAACAAGTAAAATAGTCACATTTTAAAAGCAGTTTTAAAAAGGTGGGTTTTCAGAAGGGATTTGAAGGAGGTAAGTCAGTGCAGGATCTGATCTGGACGGGGAGAGTTCCAGAAGGAGGGTGCGACAATGGATAAGGCCCTGTCCTCCTACTTTGTTCAGCTGTGGTTGTTTTAAAGTGCTTTACAAATAAAGTTGAGTTGAGAGTATTTTTTTGGAGATCGATAAGGAGTAGGTAGAAGCTATTTAGCTTATTTGTACCTACCCTCATTCCCTCCTATATCCATATATATATAAATAATTTTGGTCCCGATATTGAACCCTGAGGCACTCCACAGGTTACATCTAGACATATTGACCTGTGCTCACCTATCTGTACAAACTGTTAACTGTTTTTAATGTAACTTTGCCCCACCCCTCTAATACCGTACCTCTCACAGCGTGTCATGATTAATCGTGTCAAAAGCTTTTTTAAGTGATCCATATGCGGCTCTGACGAGTCTGCTTTTCTGCAGGAGAGAATCGGCGGCTCCATGTTACACCTGCTCCTGTTCCTCACCAATGTTTCCTCACACGACAACCTGCTCAACCTAACCTGCGAGGCCGAGAACCAAGCTGGGCCCGGGGAGGAGATGGTGCAATTGGACATTGAGTGTAAGTGCCTCTAAAATACGAAAAAAACACACTCTTGAAAGCTCACAAGCTCAATACGAGTCGCCGGGCTTAATGGAGGTTAGGGCGAGAGCACACTGGGGCCGATTTTCGAGTGCAGGCAGGGTGGACAGGCAGAGAAAAGGAAAATGCACTGCACTGATTCCTTCTAAATGCCTCCTCTCCAAATACGAACATGTACCCACCATGCTTCTAATGGAGCTCTTTGTCACATGCCACTCACTCAGGCGACCGGTGAGAAGTGTTCAAATCACTCGTGAAGTGCTGCAGGTATGGATCGCCATTTAATGCAGAGACACAATGAGAGGACAAAGAAGGAGAGTGAAGTTTCCTCGCCCCGCTCTTAAAGAACTCCTTCACCTCATCTACACTTTGCCTCTAAATTACGGCTGCAGCTTGACCCTGGAGGTTTGCTGTTGTTGTCTCCTTTTTGGATGCATTAGTGCATCTGGAAGTTGGCGAACACCGAAAGAATGACAGCACCCGGCGGTCCTGCAGGAAGAAAAAAGAAAAAAAAAAAACATGAGTCAGATGCATTAGTGATACATTACTGAGAAAAATACTGCCCAAACAATATCGTATATCACCAACTCAGTGACACTCGTTAGAAAATAAAGCCAAAAAGAGCAGGGGCGCCAATCAGCTGAAGCCAAATGCACAAGCATCAAGGGACAGATAATGAACGTCAGGAAAATGGGGCTGATAACCCGTGCGAAGATCTGATTTGAGCCCGTGCTAATGGACTGTTCCCTCCTACTCCGGAAAACCGCTTCATCCGCAGTGATTGGCAGTCTGTAAATGCGTTAGTGCAGCTAATCTATCAACATCAGCCCCCCTGGTGGACGGACACTCGTTAACCGCTAGCCCTTTAATTACTCTTAATTACCTCCCAGAACAGTGGGTGTTTACTGCTGAGTGGCTCTCGGTGCCATTGATCCACGGCACTCGTGTGGGATCCCGCTCATAAAACAACATTTCTACGCCGTGGTTTTTTTTTCTTCTGCGGAGTCATTTTTTCTCACTTGAGGAGTTTTATGAACGGCCTCCATCTTGAAGGTTAATATTTTGTAAAGATCATGAAAGTGTCTGCTGTATTTCTCTCTGAAAATCCACAATGAGGCTCTTTAAACCGGATCCTCGCCCTCCTTTAAACCCTGCGTCAAAAGTTAATGGATGATTAGTCAAATGTGATAAAAGCGCTAATTTTCCCTCAGAGCAGCAGACTTCAGCGAGGCCAGACGGATGCCTCGGTATCCCCCTTAGCGCAGCACTTTGCGAAGACGGGTCACGGGTTAATAGCGTCAGAATGGTCGGTGCAGCGTGATGGGGTCTCTGCTCTTGAGAGTCGTGTTCGATCTAAACGAGGCCATTTCCTGTTACTCTGTGTTCGGCTGAGCTTCCAGGTAGCTTTTTGTGGTCAGGGGGGCACGACGACGACCAGGATTCATAATTCATGACGGGTCAGCACAGGTTTGCTGCAGATGGAGAGCATTGATTCATGGAAAGTCTGAGGGAACCTATTGGGAACTTCAGCAACCGTTACACGTGATCAAGGTGCGAATTCAGCAGTCAGTGGTATGAACCGATGAGGATGTAGAGGGAACGTGTATGAGCTCTCAGAGTCTTTAAAAGCTCAGGAGCCTCATAACATCAAAGAATGGAGATATTTCCAAGTATCTGAAGGCGGCGATCACTAGATTTGGATCATCAAGATTTCAGGCTGGACTGTTTTTGTCTTGACTTGAAGGGATATTCCAACGTAAAATTAATTTAAGGTCAAACACACCGTAACACCGAGTTAGACCCCCCCTTCAGAGATGAATGTTGCCGACCGCTCGCTTCTCTACTTATACCAACTTTAGTAACGACCGCAGGATAGCAATACACAGCAGTCTGAGGAGCCATAAAAAAACCTCAACCAAAACACCACTCTATAGCCACAAATAATGCTCAGAACAGCACCTAACTTCATCAACAGGACATATAGGGTCACAGACATAGTACTAGACACCAAACATCTTTTTAACTTTGACTCATTTCTTTAGCAAAGAGACTAAACACAACTCACCTACTCTCTTCCAGCAGCCGCTTGTTTGTAGTGAGACCTCAGGCCAGAACATTTATGATCATTTCTTCATGGAAATACAATCAGACCGAGACGCTAAAGCAGAAGAACTACCGCGTCTGTAAAATGATTAATATGGTGATTATTACATCAAGGAAATGATAAAGAAATGATCATAAATGTTCTTCCTTGAGCTGTGGCACCCCGCTCTAGAGAACCAGAGAAGCAGGTGATCTGCAACATTCATCTCTTAAGGGGGTGTCAAACTCGGTGTTACGGTGTGTTTGACGCTAAATTATTTTTTTGCAGGAATATCCCTTTAAGAGTTGAATCTCAACGCTGGATTAAGAGATGGACTTAATTCTTTCTTGGAGCTGGACAGGTTCTTATCCGATCTGTCACACACGTCTTTTTCTTTTATATCTCCTCCTCCTGTGCTTCTTTCTAATGTGGTGTCCCCCAGGGATCTATCCTGGGTCCCCTATTATTCACTTAGCACATTCACATGCACAGATAAGTCAAGTTATGATTATAGCTCGATTAAGTGATTTAACTAGACTTTTGTCCCTGTCCTGGTTTACATCACTGGAGGCTAACGGGACGTCTGTCACTTTTACAGCTCTGTGCCATTTGCTCGGAAAGTTTCGCCTTTTTTCATCTTTTTTCTTCTCTGTCAAGGTTTTCTTTACCGGCTATTCACAGCTCGGCGTGCTAACACCGAGCATGCTCAGAACGCTTAGTTTAATTTATTTATTATCCAGATATGTTAGTCAGATTTTGAGAAGTTTGATTTAGTGCATTTTCAGTCAGTCTAATGGGTTTACATGATTTAAAAAATGTCCAGTTCAGTCAGACTAAGACAAAAAAGTCAATATTTTGAACCACATGTAAACATTCTGACTCTCTCTGAGGCAAATCCTGTAAACGCTGGATAGACTTTCGCCGCCATGCAGATGACACTCAGCTCTACGCCCCGTTAGAACCTGGCACCTCTGATGTGTCTCACTTTATGTCCTGTCCAACTAAAATCAAGATGTCTGAAAATTTTGTTTCATTTTCATCGTCTACCTTTACCTCCCCCGATCTTCCTGCAGTTCCAGTCAAAATCCTCTTCCTGCGGGACGCCGTGCAGCAGCATCACTGGTGTTTCCCCTTCGCCGTGGATGGCAACCCCGAACCGACCATCAAGTGGCTTTACAACGGCAAAAAAGTGACGGAGAACACCTACATCTACACGCAGTTCATCCCGGACACCACAGACGGGTCGGTGAAGCACGGCTGTCTCTTCCTCAACAAGCCCACGCACATCAACAACGGCAAATACACCCTGATCACCGAGAACGGGCTGGGACGGGACGAGGCCTCAGCCAACGGGACGTTCATGATCAACCCCTTTGAGCCGCACGATCCTGAGGGGATAATCCCGGGTGAGTATCCTCAGATTCAGGAGAGGACTTTCTGAACATCCTGTGATTTTATTTAGCAGTGATTGGTTCATTTTCGATCGATAATCAATCACCTTGAATTCTGAATAGAGTGAATAAAAGAACAGCCTGATACGTGATCAATCACTGAGCTGTTTCCTGAAGGACTTTGTTTTAATGGCTGTAAAGCAGATCATTATATGTTAATGAAATATGTAATAATGAGCTTCCATAGATCTTTAAACCACTTTACTGACCATGAGGCCGTCAAACGATTCATTTACTAATTAATCGCTGAATTACAACCACTTCTTTAAAACTCCATTATATGTAAAGCAAGTCAGTTAGAGAGTGAAATACAGGCAGTAGATTATACTCAGTGATCTTGACCTAAACTTGATTTATTGTTAAATATGTTTTCGGTGTTTCCTTGAGAAGTTTAGATTTTATGTAATTCGTGTTCAAAAATGTGTTTCTCTCCTTTCTTCCCACTTGCCAGTCCTTGACGCCGATCCAAGTAAGTCGATTTTTACTTCTCTAAAAGTCTCAGCAAGGTTACCGAACACTGCACAGCCTTTTTCCTCTAACTGATCTCCGTCCTGCTCCTCAGTTCCTACAAACAAATCAGACATGGACGTCACAGAGAACGCAGAGAGTCGAGTGTTTGTGGTTCGTGTTTTTGTTACAAATCTTGTAGATTCGTCGACTTTTCCGTGAGCAGACTTTGAATCTTTGTTTTTTTTGTCCTCTCAGGTGTCCGTGGCTGTGGGTCTGGCGGTGTTTGCCTGTGTTTTCCTCCTCATCATGATCTTGGTTATTAACAAGTGTGGCCAGAATTCAAAGTTTGGTATTCACCGTAAGTTTTCAGTTAATAATTCACGTGTGATGTTTTCAACAGAGGTTTCTTCTTTTTTAACCTTCCTCATGTGTTCTCTTTCACATGACCCGTGTCTTAAATCAGCTGTAAATTACACTAAAAACAATTCTCTATCATCTGATTTTGTTTTCATCTCTGGGTTACCTTGTTCGGCTTCATTATCCATGAAAATATTGATTATTATAGTTTTCGTTGTGGGCCTCTGGACCTTCTTTGTCAGTTTACCCCTCGCACAGATGTCTGAATTGATCTCACATGTCTGGACCTGCCCGACGTTGTTTTTTGAGCAGGGAAAACGTGGAAAAATGAGAATTTCCTAAATCTCACATGATTGGAAGAGAATCTGACTGTCAGTGTGGAGCCTAACAGAGCACGTTTAATTTCAGTTTTTGCTTTAATCATTAGATATTAATCTAACCGGGTCAACAGCGACCCTAACACGACAAGTGCCATAATTTTAATTACAGCGTTTTATAATTTAGTCAATTTAATTTCTTTATTTTTATTTTGTTAAAATCGAGGTTCCTGTCAAAGTCAAAAAGTCTTGATCCCAAAAAGCTGATTTATGTCGTTCTTTTAAGCATTTAAAGTCAAAAACGTGTCGGTGCAGACCCGAACACAGGAGGAGGGTTAAACGAACAGGTTAGCACTCGGATAGTTTCACGACAACGGTTTATTTTTCTTCTTTTTGTTCTTTTTTTTATGGCGGATCAAAACCAGGCAGAAGATAATGAGTCATATTTTACGTTTTTATCCTGGATTCATGATCCCATGATTAAAAGTGCTTTGTATCTTTGCGCTAACCTCAGTGTGGAGGCATTTATGTCTCTGTAAGTTTGGTATTCACTGTAAGTTTTTAAGCAATATTTCGTTAGTAGATCACTGGAAATGTGTGACGTTTTGAACAGAGGTTTCTTCTTATTTAAGCACTCGGATAGTTTCACAACGACGGTTTATCTTCGTCTTTTTGCTCTTTTTTTTTTAAATGGCGGATCAAAACCAGGCAGAAGATAATGACTCACATTTTACGTTTTTATCCTGGATTCACGATCCCATGATTAAAAGTGCTCTCTATCTTTGCACTAACGTCAGCGTGGAGACATTTATGTCCACAGAAGAGCAGAAATAAGTACGGAGCTGAAGGGGAGTGAGTCACTCAATCATCGAAGTCCAGCACCGCTGACAGAAGTTGTATTAGCGATCTTAAATGCGAGCCATAATCAAATGTTCTGCCAAATTATTCTCTGAAATAGCCGATGGTTTCTGTCAGGCTCTCTGAAGGTAATGCACAGGAGGGACTGACTAATATAGGATCTCCACAGAGCTGTAAGTTTGCTCACAGGCGGCCACTGTGCCGGCCGAGCTAAAGTGCCTTAATTACTGAGAAGGAGAATGGCGGCAGAAACCTCCCTGGGCCTTCGCCACGTGGTGAGGCCCATTAAAGAAGATGGATGGATAGACGTGATATAGCCCGGCTCTGACCCACCCCGACACACACACACACACACACACACACACACACACACACAACTGCCCTTCTCACTCTCAAAGTGCCTAAGTGGGCCTGATTGCCTAAGTGGACCCTGCTCCCTCTTTCCTTCCCTCCATCGCGCGCTCTTTGTTGTTCCATTTTCCGCCGTGTTGGACTCTGGGGGTTCTGTGGTTTGCCTTGCTGAGTGGGGTTTTACAATTTGGGCCCCACTTGTTTGGCTTTTAATACGCGCCGTAGTCAGGGGTTGCAAACCGTTCTTCCTCCATGTTCATTTTTCCGTTCATTGTGGCCTGATTGCCGCTTGGTTGATGATGGTGATTATTAGGGCTTGTCGTGGTCTGTCACCATGGCACCAACACATGTGCGACCAAGTTTGTTGCAGAGAGCGTCCATTCATCGGAGGGAAAAAATGGTTTCTGAATTGCTTCCTTTGATGGCCGCAGCAATCACGGCTGTTTGGCGGCTGATTAGGTGTTACATATCACTCACTTTTGCTTGTTTGTGTCCTTCCACTTTTCATTAGGTTCATCAGTTTTGGGCGCGAAAGACGATCTGGCTGTGTCGCTCCGTTTCATGAACTTTGGGACGAGTCCACCTTCATCTGACGAAGACTCGGGTCTGTCGAGCTTCGTGGAGAACCCACAGTACTTCTGCGGCATCATCAAGGAGAAGGACATGTGTGAGTGTTACTGCTGTACTCGTTTCCTCTCTGCTGGCGTTTCATGGTTTGTTACCCTCTTCATTACAAATTCAGTCAAATTGTCATGATTGTGACTTTAAGGAGGCTAACTGCTTTCAACGTTGGATTTTTGAAACGTTGAAAATCGAGAAAGGGCAAAACAAAGACCAAACAATGTGAACTAACTTGAGCCAGTCTGACTAATCTTTGGTGATGAAATTTAAAATCAGTTTTAATTAAATTTTTCCCTCTTTTCTGTGTTTGATGCTCAGGTGTCCAACACATTAAACGACAGGACATCGTGTTGAAGTGGGAGCTGGGCGAAGGGGCGTTCGGTAAAGTCTACCTGGCAGAGTGTGCAAACCTGAGCCCAGACAACGACAAGATGCTGGTGGCCATCAAGGTGAATTATTTTATAGCCATCACTTTATTCCCAGAAAATGTGAATTTTCAACAGTATGAAAATGTCATCGAGGAAATATGGCGGTGTGATATCTCCCCGATGGATGTTCTCTGTTTATTTAAAGGTCTGCACAAATTCAGCCTTTGTCTCTTTGGTTATAGTGTTTGACCAAATTATGGCTATGATTGGAGTTTATACTGTGGCAGCACCATGTTTACTAACCTTCTGAATCCTTCGCTGTTGACCACTGAATATGGAAGTACTGTAGATCTCACACTGTGAAGATCTTCTTACGTAGGGTGACCATATGTCCTCTTTTACCCGGACATGTCCTCTTTTTGGGGGGCTGTCAGGCCTTGTCTGAGGAGTTTATAAAATCCTTCAAATGTCCGGAGTTTTGTATGGAAGTTTTAAGTTTGTGTTGCTTGGACTAACTGAGTTAGAAGCGTGCGAAAAAACACTCGACCCGACCCGAAAACCCCTCAAAATTTACTAGGCGCGGCTCTGCGACTTCACCCCGCATGGTAATGTCCTCTTTTAGGGCATTCAGAATATGGTCACCCTATTCTTACAGATAATGTCACAGTGTCTTCATGGTTTCAGCTGGAGGCAAAAAGAAGAAAAATTGGAGGCAAACAGGTTCAGTTCAGGTTCAGGTCACTTTATTAATACCCAAAGGTAGATTTGTTCTGCAGTGAAATAAAGTGATGATGTCCATTTATACAGGTTACTGTATAAGAATAAATAACGGTAATTCTCCAAACCATGAACGATTTCATTCCAAGTGGAAGGACTGGTTTTGGGCAATCATAACTAAAGTCTGCAAAGTGTGGAAAAGTATGGATTTCCAGGTCTCAAAAAGTGTGGTAAATGAAAAAAAAAGGATGGAAAAATATTCAGGTTTCCAGACTATTACCTCAGTAAAAAAAAAAAAAAAACTGTTTTCTAAAATAGAAAAGTCGGTATTTCCAAAAATAATTCTGAAAAGTAGGGTATAGAAAGGTATGGAAATTCCAACTGTGTAGGAACCCTAATAGATGGATGAGATTATCTATGAAAGAGTTGGAATTACACTATAATAAGAAACTGGGGGAAACATTTGAGGGAGTGAATCAGAAAATACAAACAGACCAAGTCATCTGTGAGTAAACCGACACATGCATTTGCACACATGCTTGAATTAAAACTTAAAAATACTCGTAGCGGCTCCTTTAAACATACAGAATAAACTCTGATCATTACATGAGTGTGATGATCAATAGCGGTGCACAAACACTGCAAAGGGACGATGTGAATGCTGCGTCCATGTGGAGACAGTTGCTGGTTTCTCTTTTATTAAAACCTTCCTGCTCTGATAGAAATAAATCTGCTGCCTCAATTTCTACGTTGGAAGTGGATTCGCTCGGCGGTTGGCTTTATTGATGCCGTGACTCTCTGTATGGAACCTTTGATCTGCACTTATTTCACTCACAGAATGCTTTACATTCGACATCAATGCACAGATCTGGAGGGCAGATATGTACGGGATTCATCCACACACTCCAGGTGGATTGTCGCTCATAAAGGAAGCGCTGTGTACTAAATGAGACACACGCTCTTCGTTTTGCCATGTGATAGAGCTACATATCAACGAGAACTGATGCTGTGTTCAAACTAGTATGTCTTATTCATCTAAAAGTAAGATATCTGCAGCAAAGCAGGCCGAGAGCTGGAGAATCAGATGGTGTGTGTTAGTAAAGCAGAGGGACAAAGCGAGCACAGACCAGGGGAGAGTCTCTTTGTCCTTGTGAGCTCTTCTCTGATCTGACTTCATGTCTTAGTCCGCTCAGGACCTCGTTGTCCTCTTTTAGCACAACCTCTCAACTGTCCACTAACTCCCAGACCAAAATATCCCAGCGATAAATATGTCATCCTAAGTACTCGATACTTTACCAACAAGTGTCAAAGTAAGTACAGTGCACTTACGCTTAAATCCTTTATATAGTGTCCTGATATAGCATCCTGCGGTTTTAGAGTGAGAGGTCTTTGTTGAGGACTGCCTCAGGTGGTTTAATACAGGGCTCAGGTTACAACAGGTTAATGCGAATAACCACAGAGAACAAAACAAGACGGAGAATCTGACTCTGCTCGGATTTATCAGCCCATTAATCAGACGTCTGCTTTCACAGCGAAACTGCATCATCCGACCGTTAGAAAGACTCTGACCTGATTTATTCCCTGAAATCCTCCTCTTCTATTTCTGTATCCTTCTTAAAACATTACAGAGTTTTCATGTTAATAATCACCTTTTGCGCTTTCAGACTCTCAAGGACGCCAACGAGTCGACCCGGCAGGACTTCCAGAGGGAGGCGGAGCTCCTGACGGTGCTCCAGCATCAGCACATTGTTCGATTCTACGGCGTCTGTACCGACGGAGAGCCGCTGGCCATGGTGTTTGAGTACATGAGGCACGGAGACCTGAACCGATTCCTCAGGTATGAAGCTTAATCTGCTGCAGGAGGGTCACAGTTTCCACCAAACACCTGTGTGTGTTTTAGTTTTGTAATGAAGCTGTAGGGGTGCGACAGAACTAAAGACTTCTTTACTTTGCTGCTAAAAACCTGTTCATGCTGCTCATACTCGATTTTACTTACATTGTTACCCCCAATTTTCACCGCATCCGGAATAGCAGCGATTTTGAGCCGTCTGCCAATTCCTACTGGATCTGTTTGTGACAGAAGGAATCGTGAGAACTCGCAAGAACCCGCCGATTCATGATCAATCGCGCGATAACAAGTTGTCTCTATAAAGACAAACAAAAGCAGTAGATCGGGTCCTTCCTGAGGAGAAAATCCACTTTTAGACTCCCAGAGTCTCCTCATCCATGGTGTCATCAGGGTGGAATGACGTCTGAAAACCTTTCACTTGTTCGTCCCCGCCCACGTTTGGATGGCGTGAAATATAAGTGTTTTATTTTGAAAAGAAGCCGGATGTTTTATTTTGTGTCTGTGCCCGACTTCCTGTCCAGCACGGGTTCATCTGTGCTGAATTTATCCGCCATGCTCCGGCGTCTGGAAAAAATAGAACTCTTGCGATCAGCTGAGGAGTTCGGCGATCCGCAGATGAACGGAAAGAAGTCGGTGGAAATTGACACGTTAATATGAATGGTTACGATCAGCTGCTCCTGGAGGTACCGAGGTCCAAACGGAAGCTCAGAGGGGATAGATCTTTTTCTGTTGCAGCCCCAAATTTATGGAACGAGCTACCCCTCCAAATTAGACAAGCCCCCACACTGTCCATTTTTAAAACTCATCTTAAAACCCATTTTTATTCATTGGCTTTTAACCCTGCATGAGACTCGGCTCCTGTTTTAGTGTTCTATGGTTTGTTTTTAGTTATTTGTTTCTATGTTTTTAAATTAGTTTTTAAAAAGCTAAATTAGCTACATTTTACTTTTAATTCTGCTTTTATTTTATTTTGTTTTCTGATTGTTTTTTATCTTGTTGTTTGTCTAGTTATGTACAGCACTTTGTTCAGCTGTGGTTGTTTTAAAGTGCTGTACACATAAAGTTGAGTTGAGTTGAGTTGAGCCACGATCGGTGGATACGACCTTTTCGTAGTCGTTTCAGATGTGGTGGAAGTTGAGGGTAACACTCTTTTGGAAAGGACAACTGGACTTAATTGAGACGTTTCGCCTTAGCCTAAGTCATGACCTACATGACTTAATTATTGGGCCACAAAATGTTCATCACTAACAATCAGTCCATCAACCCGTTAGGACCAGAGTTCTCTGTCACCGTCTGAGTTAACCCTTTCCTGCCTCGCACCGAGAAGAGCCGTGTGCTTCTTTTCCACAAGATCAGCGTCAGGTATTTGTGTTTTTCAGCAGACAGAAACGGAGTCGTATTTACTGATAAACTGTTAAAACCTCTGATAGAGCGGTGAGTGAAGATCGTTCTCCGCCGCCTCGCTGAGCCTCGGCGATGCGGAGGTCAAACCACATCTTTACTGAGAGGTTAAACACACTCTTGAACCCAGCGGTCACCGTGTGTATCTGTGGGTTTTGTGTGTTTAAGTAGAGGTGTGAAAAGGTCGTACCGCCACAAAACCTCCAGGAAAACTTTGGATAACAGCAACAATGGCGGTGTAGGAGACGGTTCAAAGGAGATGAATGGGTTAGTCAAGACGCTTTCAGTGAGGAGATGGACGTAAATCTCAGACGCATGATAAACAGAGAGAAACAGAAACGGTTTGTTGAGGTTAAAGCACCAAAGAGATGGGTTAGGAGTCAAGAAAATACTTTTTAATTCAACTTATTCAAAAGAAAACATGATACAGTCTTTAAATTTTTTATTTCGTGGTTTAAAACTCCAAAAACACGAGAACAACAACAGATGATGGTAAAATATCTGCAGCCAGAGAGAGAAAGAGAGAGCGCCGTTTGTGCAGAATGACTTCTTCTGTGTTTTGTTTCACTGAACTTCTGCAGCCTGTTTGGTGCAGATCCTCCTTAGACCAGCTTTCAGGACTCTCAACCACTCTACTTAAATTAGAGGTCTATCAGGTACTCTGCATTTAACTGGTTTCATTCTTCCTAGTCTCAGCAATCACCTGTGGTGTACAGCAAGGTTCAGTTCGAGGCCTGACTTTTATTTTATTTAAATGCTGCCCCCCTCGCCAAATAATCCAGTCGTCTTTCGTTGCTATGCAGACGACACACTGATATACCTTCCCCTGAGACCTGAGGACCCTGGAGGCCCAGCTGCAGTCAAAAACTGTCTCAGTGATAAACTATATGCTTAAGGTCCCTCTCTGATCATTCTTTTTTCTACTTGAAGTGTTCTCAGTGGTCTTTAAATTGTGATTATGAAGTTTTTCACCAAAATCACATTACCTGGGTCATTTTGAAAGGCTTTTCTTCTGCAGAGCTCCAGTAGATCATTAGCAGTTCTCTGAGTCATGAGCGGAGACAGCGCTGCTCTGCTCACTGGTTTTCACGCTAGCTTGCAGCCTAAAATTGCCTGTGCAGTAGAAGTGGCAGGTAACATAGGAGATATTCAGCTATCGGACACTAATGACTTTGTGGACATGATGAATGTTAATATCATAATTATCTTTCTTACGAGCATTACAATCTGCTAACGCACACACTTGTTCTGTGATCGTCCTCTCTACTTCTCCAAGTCTGGCCTGCAGAGCGGGGCTACGGGGGCGGAGCTTTGATCAGTAACGTCGGAAATCTCACTGTTTCCGAACCTGCCGTTTGGGTCTGCCAGAGATTCACCGAGATTTTAATAAAGAAATACTCAGAAAAGCAATTTCTCATTTAGTTTTCTCATGATATGTCCTGTAGCATCAGAAAAATGCCGTTTGAACACAAAGACAACAAGAAAAACATGATTTTCATCAGAGTGGGTCTTAAACTGAAGACCCACAGATAGAAATTTGGACGATTTGCTTTTAGTTTCTTTAGGTATCTTCTTTTACTGTTTGGCTGAATCTTTCATGGGTTTTTGTTTTTCATACACTTTCTAAATCCCTGTTTTTATATAATAATTACGATCAGTGCAGCCCTGGTCAAGTGGGATTACTTTAATATGAGCTTAGTCTCTTTTCTAGTGCTCTTAGACTTTCTCTGTCTCGGTACTTTGTTCAGACCAACATTTTCAGGTCCCCAGAGGAACATTTTTTGTTGCCATGGCAAAGAAAAAATACATTAATATGATTTATTTTTTACTTTCTGCTCTCTGTGATGCATCTTAAACATCCACCGTACAAAAGTCGCTCCATTCCCCCCTAAAAAGTCTATAATTTGCTGACTGTATTTATTATTTCCCTCTCTTCTCTGTGTGTATCATCCTTTCGCCAAAGTCGGCTGAATGCACCGCTGTATGGAGTCCCTTTTCCTCATAAACTAATAAACAGAGTCTCACAGAGCGTGTCAAGGCTCATGGCGAATATCTTATTTACACAATGTCCTCATTTAATGAAAGCAGAGAGACTCACATCCAAATAATGCAGATTTTTGATTCGAATACCTGTGGACGCAGCAGATAGCTTAGCCTTGACGCAGATCCACGCTGAATGAAACTGATCTGAATCCAGAGCACATGATGCAGGAAATCGGCTCATCATAAACATAAAATGACTTAAAGTCGTAATCTGACGTTAGAGAGCGAACAAAGAGGACGGAGTTGACCTACTAAAGCTCACTCAGCACCTGGGAAACCATCTGACAGACTCTCAGAGCAGACGCCGCTGATGCTGTCTGCCAGGTGTCCTCCACGGGAGACAGATTGGGGATGAAAACACACACAAGCAAACATACACACACCCACTCTGCCTGAGATATATGTCCAGCGATGGATGGAAAATCGCATTTCCAGCAGACAGGACGGGGAGAGACGTCTGAGGGCCCCCACAATGCAGCTGCTATCCCACCCTGCCACCTGCCTGCTAAACTAATAGTGATTACAGAGTCAACTTCCTTTGTAAGGAGTGCAGAGGAGAGATATTAGGATGGATGGAGACACATCAGCTGTGATTTGCTCATTTAGGCCGCAGTGAGACGTGTGAGTGGGTGTTTATAATCCTCGAAACCAACTGAGAGTCAATTTGCTCTGCATCTCCCAATCACATTATCGCGAATCAATTGTAGGCGAATAACAAGCCCCATGTTTCTATTTGCTGTTAAGTGGCTTTATTACGGCGTGGTCGAGAGCTCGTATATGTCAGAAGTGTTCACTCGGCAGATTGCACGCTGAGGTCATTGCCCTTCAGGTCACCCGAGGCTGATCCTGGAGTTATCAAGATACCGGGGGTGAGATTATTAACCCGATCAGCCAATGAGATCAGAGGAGGAGAGCAGAGAGCGGCATGTCCTGTTTCTTACAAATAAAGACGTTTGTGGTCAAACAGACGACGTAACCCTCTAAAGAGGTCAGGAGCTCGGCCCAGAAACCAGTTCAGTCCCAAAAACACCTGAAAAAACACACACAAGGGAAATACTCATAGTTTAATATTCCAGTTTTTCATCTCATGACCATCTTGGCCATAAATTCTCATGATCGTGAGATTGTTGTGATATTTATAGAAAACTCAGCGAATGATTGTTTGTCGTGCTTTTATTTTATCTTACATTCAGGTAGTTTTATGGTAAAATTATGCTTTAATTTTGAAGTACGCTACAAAACTCAATACTGAATAAAAACGGTTTAACAAACGGTTTGAAAGTATAAATATATCCCAAATTAGTAACCTGGAGAGACACGAGCTCTTGTGGTGGTTTTGGACTCACAATAATTGTATTTTTATCTCACTGTACAACTTTGGAAACTTTGTGTTTGCTTAAACCATACTCCGCCCTCAGCCCCGTCTTTTGTCTGTCCAATCAGGAAGTGTCACCCAGCAGACAGATAAGAAAAGAGAAATTAATTCACACAAACAATGTAAACTAAACGTGTTCATCCAGAAAACTAAGTGTTTCTAAAGTTCTAATAAACCAGTTTTAAACAAGACAAACTATAAGTGTTGTATGTAATTTAAGTAACTGAATATGTGGTCATGGTGTTTGTGACTGTGGACCCGACCATCACATTTATCATCTCATTTATCATGAGCAGGAAAAGGGAATCAAACCTGGACCGCCTACATATGTGGGCCAAGAGTCATTTCCTGTCTAGTTCATTATGAACCCTCCAGATCCTTGAACGGACTTTAACTGAGTTTCTTTTTTTGGGGGTTGATTTTCAAAGTTGTTTCCTCGTACTCTCTTAAGAGTCTCTCAGAAACGGGGATTAAAATCCAGCAGCTTTCACTCAAACACACTCCTGTTTTTCCTTCGTGTGTGTGTGTGTGTGTGTGTGTGTGTGTGTGTGTGTGTGTGTGTGTGTGTGTGTGTGTGTGTGTGTCACCTGTAGAGCTCACGGCCCGGACGCTCGTATCCTGGAGGAGACCAAGATGCCTCCTCTGGGTCAGCTCACGCTGCCTCAGATGCTGCACATCGCCGCACAGATCGCCTCGGGGATGGTCTACCTGGCGTCCCTGCACTTCGTCCACCGTGACCTGGCGACCCGGAACTGTCTTGTGGGGGAGGGGCTGGTGGTCAAAATCGGGGACTTTGGCATGTCCAGAGATATCTACAGCACAGATTACTATCGGGTAAGAAAGTTGAAGAAAAGCAACAAATGAACTACAGTTTAAGACCGAGTGTGGACTGTACAAGGTCGTGAGACTGGGAGAAATGAGCTTCATAGACCGGGTTTAGAGCTCGATCAGTTCTGCTGTTATAGTTTAGTTTAGCTTTGGAGTTTTGAGCTGTAACCACTCCACGGGGTCAAATGTGTGAACTTGTGGTGAATTTTCAAGATGGAGTCAGAGGCAAATCTACGAGTTTGTTTGCTGCAAAACAAAGACATTCAAACTTTCAGCTGGACATGAAGTTAGTTCATGTTGTTTCTTTGAGTTCAACACGAGTCATTTAAGCTGCGTTCCAGTTATCTTGGAAGTCGGATGTTGGAGCTGAGAATGACGTCACACCCGAGTTGACGGCGTTCCAGTTAACAAGTCAGAAAACCAAGATGGACGCCTACTGTTAGCCATTGTTAGCAGTCGTTACTTGTTGTTAGCTATACCAGTTGTAAAAAACGCTATATTTTATTTTACTCTACAAACATCATAGCACCGTGTTCGCAGTTAGACGTTGGGCAGTACAACATATACTAGAGTGACCATACAACGTCTTTTATCTGAACATGTCCTCTTTTTGGGGGCTGTCAGGGTTTGTCTGAGGAAGTTTATATAATCCTTCAAATGTCTGCAGTTTTGTACTTAAGTTTTAAGTTTGTGTCACGTGGACTTACTGAGTTAAAGGTGCGTAAAAGACACTCGATCCGACCCGAAAAACTCAAAATTAACTTTGTGCGACTCTATGACTCCGCCCCGCGTAGTTGTGTCCTCTTTTCAGGAAGTCAGAATATGGTCACCCTACATATACGACTGATCTAATTTCACAAAAACAAAACAGAAGTGCTGATAAATAAAACATTACAAGAGCTTTCACTGTTACGCTTTACTGTTGATGCACTGCGCTGCCATCTTGGATTATGACGTTGTCGTCAAGTCGGGGTTGGTGAAGATCGTACGACTTTCCGAGTCGGAAATCCAACTTCAGGGGGGCGTTCTAGATGAATTTCCAACTCTGAGCTCCCGACTTCCGAGGACAACTAGAACACAGCATAAGTGAGTGTCTGACTTTTTAATTGGATCGTGAACAAATTTTCATTAAAAATTAGATTCTCGTTTGCAAAGTTTGGTGTTTGATTATGAGAGTCAAAGAGGATTGTGTGGCGTTTGCAGCATTTTAACTTCTCTTCGACACCAGAGGTTGTTGATTTGAAATAAGTAAGAAAAGCAGCAGAGTTACACACCAGGACTTCAGGGCATCAGTGTCTTTTTGTGAAACAGGCGGGAACAAGCGATCCAAAAATGGGATACTTAAATCCGCGGGGGTCTGAGACGTCTTGTAAGTTTGACAAACTTGAAAAAGGAACATTTTTGCAGAGAGAGGATGCTCTAACTCAACTTCATCTCATTTTTGAAAGCTGCTCTCCAAGTTTGTGATGTTTGAACCAGTAAAGATCACATGGAGAAATCAATGTGAGCTGTGAGAAGCCATTGAGGCAGAAAGCGCTGTTTGCCTTTGGTTTGTTTTGTTAGCGGGAGGCTTTGAAAGAAGACGGAGCTGCCGAACTTTTCAGAGCGCTTTAAGGACTCTTGACAAACTCCTCGGCTGATATTGTAAGAGGGCTGAGCCACACTTCCATTCAGAGGGCTGTTGTTGTTGTCGTCGTCGTCGTTGTTGTTGCTGAGATAGTCTGCCGTCTCTTGATTTTTATCGGTCAGAGAGGAGAAGTTGGAGAGTCTGATATCAGTGTTTTATTATTAGGAGAGTTTTTCAGTGTTTTTTACATACTGTGGAGACTTTTTGTCGCTTTAACAGAAAATTATTGATTATTTTTTTGCACAGTGAGGACTCAGAGATGCTCAAAACTGGAGTCGATATTCCTCCATGTGTCTTGTAATCTTTTGTCTTACTGTTAGGATTTTAGGAGGTTAGTAACAGTATTAGATCATGAATCACAACCTTTGCTCCTTCACTGTGTGAGCGACATATTCTGTTTTCAACCTAACAAATGAAAAGTGGTGCACTTCACGCTCATTTCATTTTTATTACTGCACAGATTTCCTCTTTGGTAGAAGAGTTAACAATAAAACATTCATTCCTTCGTTTTACCTTTAACATTTTCGTGTTTCATTCTCCGTTTTTTCAGCTAAAATCGATGAAGCACTCCTCTGAGAGGTCTTTAATTTATCAGAACAGGTCAAGTAGAAAACAGAAGCTGAATTCTTTTCTTTTTGTCCAGTTGAATTAAAGAACAAACTGAATTGAGGCATTTTCAGATTATAAAGCCCATATTGTTGTGTTGTCTCTCCCTCGCATTGATTCGGAGCAGCTCTTCAGGTTAGTCATGGGTGGTTCAAGGATGAGGGGAGGTCTGCAGTATTAGTCAGTAAATAATTAAGGTATTAACAAAGCTAAATGTTTTACCGTCGACCTCAAAACTCGTTATGTAATACAGATTTCTTTCTTTGTGTTCGCCCGCGTTCATTTCCTCGTCTTTGTGCTCAGGTGGGCGGACGTACGATGCTGCCGATCCGCTGGATGCCGCCGGAGAGCATCATGTACAGGAAGTTCACCACAGAGAGCGACATCTGGAGCTTCGGCGTGGTCCTCTGGGAGATCTTCACCTACGGCAAACAGCCCTGGTACCAGCTGTCCAACAGTGAGGTGGGTCAGAGGTCAAACCTGAACTGCCTCTGATAACTTTTGGGACTTGAGTGAATCACACAGCTTCTACTTTAACACGGAGAGGGTAGTGTTGGGCGGTATGAACAAAATCTTATATCATGGTCTGAGTAATTTCATATCACGGTAACAGTTTATATCACAGTATGTTTTTCCTCCTGTAAATTCAATTAATGTCTTAAAAATCACCAGACTGTCGCGTTTGTTTTAAACTCTGATTTGTAAACAAATGCAAACAAAATCTCAGACCAGTCTGGTGATTATTTATCATATGGCGTAACTTTGGGGAAAGACTCTGTCGAGCTCTTTTATATGAGAGGAGCTGCTGCAGGTTTAGTTTTTGGTGCAGCAGGTGAGACACGCATCTTTTTGCTCTCATAGTAGAGTTTGGCATGTTTCATTTTTAGGTGGTGGAAGAGGTTGTTGGTGTTTCCTCCTCCAGCAATGACAGCCACACGACACTCTTTGCATAGTTTTTTTTTTTTTTGATCATTGTTGGATTTTCTAAATCTGAAGAATCTTCAGACAACCAATGTTGTGACTCGCGCCCTTTTTTGGAAGGAGTTCCTTTTCTCATGTTGGGTGGGTCAGGATGCCTCCGTTTGCTCAGTACTGCCACTAATCTCCACCATGACCACCACCAGTGAAGCTGCTTCTTCTTCGTCGAAACTATGCCAAGCAGTGTGTTGGACACGCTGGTGAATATACTGAAACAAACCCAAACGTTTGTGCTCCGGCTTTCTCGTCAGCGAGCGTAGACAACTCCACACTGACTCAGAGAGACGCAGCAGACATCTGCTCTCTCTTCTCTCTCTTTGGTATAAACAGTAGAGCAAAATTTCTACCTGTAGACACTTTTATTCCGTCACACAGAATATACCGTCATACCGCCCAACACTAGTAAAGAACAAAATAAAGACTGCTTTATTCATGTTTGATGCAAACCAAAAATTCCTGACAGAGTATTGAGTTACATACTGTAGAATCTACAGGAAATACCATACTTTTTTAAATTTTCAAAATAAAAGCACGGTTTCTTATTACAGGCTGTGTGTAAGTAAAGCAGAGGGACAGAGTGAGCTTAGAGTGTGAATGTCAGGGCAGAGTTTATATCTCACTCGGTTTTAATAACAAAAAAATAATCACCAAAAATTACCCTTAAATCAATAACTAGTTGTGATTTTAAGTACCAATCTTAGTAATCATAATTATTTTGACCGTAACTGTGCAGCTCTAATCAGGAACAAGGTTGTTTATAAACTGTGATTTTAAAGACCCGGTTTGAGGGTGGTAGGTGCAAGACCAGAAAATTGGCGACAAGCTGAAGAAAAAATCTTTGTTTGTTTCATTTTCAATTTTAAAAGAAAGCAACAGAAAAGCTTTAGAGAAAGTTCTACAAATAGAAAGTTGCTCATCGAGGCTTTAAATGGTCCAACTTCAAACTGTGAAAGTGCAAAAACCCTAAACCTGCAGTCCAAAACATGATCCTCGCAGGTTTTAGAGAAAAGCTTTTGCCGCTGAAGTTTTCCAGCCTCTGCACTCTTCAACTAATCAATAAATTCATAGTAATTAAGGCCGGGGCAGTCTAGCCTTTTGAGCTCCAGCACCAAGAAGTGGGACTCCATCGTGACCACAGCGATGCTATTAAAGGCCCAAACCCTCTCTCCTTTCCACAGAAGGGTAGATCACTTTTCTCACCCACTCAATTCTAATCTAATTGGCTCTCATTTTTGCCCCGGGCCAATGAGCTTTAACCTCGTTAATCTAATCTGTCTTGACCAATGAGGGGCAGGTGAAATTATCATGTTGCCTAAACACGCCATGGCGGAGATAAATCATCCCAAAATACTGACAGGCGGCTGGTTGGAGTGTTTTTCTGTGGAGTGACGGGCCTTTTTGGTGTGCAGTCTCTCAGCACCGTCAGACCTTTTCTGTCTGCTGGATGAGGTCAAGGTTAACAGCGGGAAAGAGACCGAGTCAGTCACTCTTCATGAGGAGAGCGGAGTGAAATCCTCTCTCATCATCGACAGGGGTTCATTCACCGAGCCGAGAGAGTGTGTGAACTCAATCAGTCAAAGTAGCTATTAGAGTCGGAGCTGGAGGCCATTCAGATTTTAGCTGCTCTTAAGGTCTGTGCTGATGGAGGCCATCTTTAAATCTGTATAAAATAAGACCGCAGCAATAAAAACTAACGAGTTAATTCAGGTTTTGTTGTCCTTGTTGGAGCGTTTACAGGATTTCCCAGGGTGCATTTTAACACTCTCAGTGTGAGGTCTAGTTTTTGAGAGTCTCAACGCTTTCTTAGAAAACTGGTAATAAAAATATCTGGCAGCATCTCTTTCCTGTAAATATGTTTGTGATTGTCACTTTCGAATTCTAAAAGATGAAACTGGGAGTGAGAGAAAACTAGCGACTGTGTTGACCCAGATATAAAAACAGGATTTTTCTGTCACATACACCCGAAAATGTGGGAATAATTAGCCTCCGCAGCATTTTGAAGGTAATATGGTAAGTCTGTATTAATGTTGGGTTTACTGGAAGGACATCCAGGGGGCAATTTGAGCCATGAAATTTACTGCAAAGGCATCCAGAGGTCACTTTTATCACATATTTATACTGGGAGGACAGAGGGCAGTTTGAGCCATAAAAATTACTGGAAGGACATCCAGAGGCCACTATTATCACATAGTTATACTGGAAGGGCATCCAGAGGGCACATTTTAACATATTGCACCCTGGAAATGCACCCAGATGGATCTTTTTCACATTTTGACACTGGAAGGACAACCAGGTATTTGTTAGGTTTTTTTTGTTTTTGTTTTTTTACTATCAGAAGAGACGCTAGAGAAACCTGTTTAGTTTTATAGTGCACTTTGACACATTTAATCAACTGGAAGGACATCCAGAGAGCTTTTTTACTATTAGGGGATGTTCTAGGGGGGACTTTTTTAGTTTTATGTACCTAAAGGAAATCCAGAGGGAACTTTTATCACATATATACTGGAAGGGCATGCAGAGGGCAGTTGTTCCCACATTAATAATATAGTGGTAGGAGATTCAATAGGCTTTTTTAAATTTCAAACTCTGGAAGGACATCCAGAAGAAACCTTTTTAACATTTTATCAATGAAGGGCATCCAGAGGTTATTTTTGTGATTGTTCTTTAGGAGGTTATCTGTGTGGCACTTTTATGTTTAATCAACTAGAAGTGTTTTTGAAGTTATACATACTAAGAGGCCATATAGGGGGCACTCCTTCACCAATTCATGTTCTTGAAGAGTATCCAGAGGTCACATTTTTACTATAAAGAAAAGACATCCTTATAGTAATATTTAATGGTTCATCCACTTGAAAAGTATCCAGAGATAACAGTTTTTTTTTTTTTTTTTTGCATGGAAGGGCAACTAGAGGCACATATTTAGCATTTTTTCCCCATTTTGTATCCTAGTAGGGCGTCCAGAAAAAAAAACTTTCACATTAAATGCACTGTGAGTGTATACAGGTGTCTTATTTAATCAACTGGAAGGGTGTCTATGAAGCACTTTCTGAGATTTGTATCCTTGGAAGGACATCCAGAAGGTGAATTTAACATTTTTTATAAACTGGAAAAACATCCAGGGGGCATTTTTTAGGGTTCACATCCTGCAAAGACCTCCAGAATACACTTTACCACATCACATGTTGCATTTTAAAGGTCAGTGCTTTAGTGAAGGTGAACAAAGTGCGACAAGAGATTTTAAAAACTGTGATTTTGAATATTTGAGTGAGAGTTTAGAACTTTGGAGTCAACAATAATAATAATCAATAAACAATAATCACATTTGAGCAGGTATGTTGTGAAAGTTTCATTTGTAGAGGTTTTGTTGCAGCAGCTTCTTCTTCATCTAAAGGATTTTTGGAAACCTTTAAAAAGGTGAAAATCTTTTTTGTTGTAAAATACAGAACCGAGTTTTTAAGAATAGAAAAACAAAGAAAAGTTTAATAAAAAAAAGTTCCTCCAAAGACCATGAATACAACAGGGACGAGAAAGTTTCTGCAAAGAGACTTTTTTTTTTGTTCAATTAAGACCCACAAAAGGAAAAGTGTCTTTTGTACAGAGAACTGAAACACCAGAAACAGAGAGATCAGAACCTGGACCGTGAGACTTATTTAGCGCCAAGAAACCTTGAACCGTTTCTTGATTTAATGACAGAGGGGAACTTTCTACACATTCTCTCAATCTTTCATATTAAGGTGGTCAAGACAAGAGGAGGAAATGTTGGTCGGTCAGGTGTGAGTGAATGAATCTCTGAATAATTATCATGAAATCACTTGTGCTGTAAGCTGTAGGTTAGAGAGTCTCTGACAGAATCGTGGACTCCTTTGTCAGATGACTAAAGAAAAGACTGAGCTCAGGGTCAACTTGATTAGAAAATACTGAGAGCAGATTAGATCAAACCTTGAGAACTAGTCGTTTAAGATTTCTGAAAAAGTTTCTGAAAACTTTGATCTAAGAAATTCAGGGTTTTTCTGATCTGAGAAAAGCACGGCTGGAATGAAAGAAAGATAAACTATAAAAGACATTTTCACATGCGGAGTTTAGACTTCAGACTTGTTTTCATTTTGCACTTGAATTGCTAATTTGCCTCAGTAAGTGGTCATTTACTGAGGCGTATCAAGGAGTCAGAGTGGTTTCAGACACGAAAATAAAACAAACAGAAATAATCAGTTTCTTTGTTGATGGTCATAAAGAGGCTTCAGTATTTAATTTACAACTTTTAAAATCACTCATAGAAGCTCTAAACAAAAGCAACTGTGCACAACTTTCAGTTTGTGTGAAATCTGGCGCCCCCTGTGGACAAAGTATGTATTATTTTTAAAAGTTTTTATTCTGATCAGGTTAATTAAACTCAGTTTTTTCTTCTTGTTTCTCTTTTGTTTAAATATACATATCTTCATAAATGTTTGTTTCTGTTTTGCTTGTTTTGTTTGTGATAAATTGAGCCTCAGTTTTGATTTTTTCTCATAATTTCTCTTTATTTTCTTGGAATCGTTGAATAAAAATACTCACTTAAACCTGTTAATACATTATTCTAAATTCCCTCCTGTAGGCCATTGAATGCATCACTCAGGGTCGGGAGCTGGAGAGGCCTCGCACCTGTCCTAAAGAGGTCTACCTGCTGATGCAGGGCTGCTGGCAGAGAGAGCCTCAGCAGAGGATGGTCATCAAAGACATCCACAGCCGTCTGCTCTCTCTGGTCAAGAACCCGCCGGTTTACCTGGACATCCTGGGCTGAAGGAGGCCCAGAGCAGACCAGAGAGCCAAGTCCAGAGGGTGGGGAGGCTGAGGTTACGTTTGAGACCTGAAACACCTTTTTTTTCTTCCTGTTTCCTCCAATCATAGCTTATCAACTTAACCAGGAACCTGATTTAAATCAAGTACGCCAGATTTGCTGCTTTTGTCCAGACCCGCCTCCTGACCCGTTCACCGCCCTGCCGCTCTCTGGAAACCTGTCAAATGTTTACCAAAGTGTTTAATGTTTATCTGACGTCAGATCAGCCTGACAGAGGGACATGCATGGATAAGAAGTGTAACTGTTTATGAGCCGGGAGTGCGATGGACTATCAGTTTCCTTAAAGCTTCGATGGGCCAAGCCGAGGAAAAAAAGGTAATAAAGTAAAACTTTAGTGCAGAAAAGGAGGGACACTGTGTACAAACTCCATAAAAACAGATTTTGATGGTTTTTAAATCACTTTAAGTCTATATTTGATTCTAAACAGTTTAATGAAAAAAAATGTCTGTAAAGATGTGAGACAGGAGCGTGTTCACCTGGATTTGCGTCACCTCTCTTTTTAACAACTCTGTAAACGTTTACGAAAAGTCTTCCCTGGTAAAGTCATTGTCTAAATGGCGGCACAGTTGTACGAAAACCTGTAAATATTCTTCAGCTTTAATGTCGCTCATGCTGTGGGCACTGATGCATCGCCATAGGAGCTTAGATGATCGCTTTTTAACTGTGTGCTGATAATAAATTTGGTGTTTTCTCTCCTTTTAAGGAGGAGGCGTACATGATTTCCAAACAGGATGTCAAACTTTGGTTGTCAGACCACTTCCCACCCGGCAAAAAGTGGTTTTGAAAAGGAGTTGATAAGACGCCTTCGCCATACGTCTAAACAACGTCTAGATTCGGACCGTCTAAATAAAGCCCAGTTTTAACATCTTTTTCTTGGGCTAAATTACGGCCATGACGGGCCGACGTGATTAAAACTGAAAAAAGACATCTAGATGCCGTCGGGTGTTTGGTGGGTTGGCCTCTTGGCTTTAGACCATCCCAAATACACTCAGGCCCAGAGAAGTAGCAGATATTTAGGATCATGATATATAAGGTTTACTCCTTTATGAAGTGACTTTGCAGTGATTTCCACTGCAGAGTTTCTGACGATCGCCTTCAGCTCGTATTGATTTCTGTCTGTGCTCTTCTGCCTGAATCACTTAGTAGCTGCGTTTGCATCGGCACAAATTATCGGAATAAAGATACGATCGGAATAAAAATGCGTCATGTAAACATGTCGATCAGAAGATTCTGATCCAATTTGGCCCAATCGGAAAGGAATTATATTCCGATCAAGAGGGGTGGTTTATGCCGATCGTTATTCCGCAACGCGTCCATGTGAACACTTATTCTGATCGTGACTCTCTCACCTGACTCGATCTTCACTCTTCAGCCTTTGGTTTATTTATTGAGGTCAGTGCAGGAGGTTTCATTATTAACACTCTGGTGTCTGCTCCTCCGATAACATAACAAGGCGTACAAACATCGTAATGATGTCACATCTGTACGCACAGTTCAACCTTTGACAGAACAGTAAAATAAGTAAGCAAGGGCGCCATCTAGTGACAACATTTAACAGGGAGAAGAATCCTGAATTTGATGGAGTGATTCATGACCGCGTTTGTTGGTTTGTTGACAGCACAGGCGTGAATACAACTCTTCTTCTTTGGTTGTTTTAGCGAAGTTTGACAACTCTGCGTGTGTCGAACAGCTAATCTGAATAAGACTTGGTGTACGTATTCACACGTCATGATCAGATTATTTGATTTTGCGCCCGAATAAAAAACAGTGGATTCAGATTTTCTGATCCCTCAAATTTTCAATCGGATCAAGAAATTTTGTAAACAATAAACACGGCTGCTGTATGCTGTGCTGTTTTATAGGGAAATACTTGATTCATTTATTTGCTCACACAGTCTCTCACAGGATGATTAAAAGATGTTCAAACTTTTTAAAAACATTTTTGTCTTTTTTAATATTTTTTTTGTCTTTGTCCCAACTTTAGATTAAAAACAAGCCTATGTTGATCATAAAATGTTCATTTCTATCATTAGTTCTGTTGTCTTTGCACTATTTTCTGTTAAATTTAACACTGAAATGATTTTCAAACCATCAAAATCTGTTTTTATCAACATCTTTGGAAGTGTTCAACAGAGAGGGCACTTCATATCATGAGACTAAAGAGAAAAAACATTTTTCAGATTTGGGTACAGCCGACTGTCATTTGTACAGCGTAGTAGTCACTGATTTTGGGTAAGTTTTGATATGGGAGCTTCTTTACTGAATGTATATAAGATATCAAAGTTGTACAATCAAAACCTTGGATAGCTCGTTTGTTTCTGATGCGTGTATCATATGAGTATTTTTCAAAAACAAGAACCAAACCTGAAGTATTAGCAGTGGAAGTGTGTGTTTACATTTAATGCTGTCTGTTTTTGCTGTTAAATATGAAGAAAAACCAACAAACACGTCTAAAAAAACCAAATGTTTGACCTGCGGCCTGCCTGCGACACTCAGGAGCGTCTTTTCAGTCCAGATTCAGGATGTTTAACATGCTGCGTTCACAATCAAAGCACTGTAGTGAAATCCAGTATGGGGGGCAAGATGGTGAGGAGGTGGTTTTCGAGGTGACAGATGGGAAAGTCCAGGAGGAGGAGGACAGATGGAGCTGAAACAGAGCCTGGAGGAGAGGCCACCTCCAACACAGAGGGGGCAAATCAACCAAAACGGAGAGTTTGAGTGTTTGGAAACCTTTCTGATGCCTAAACATGTAAATATGAAATGTACATACTCTGTATTAATGTCTCAAATTATAAATATATATATATCTATATATACGTATCTTCATGTATTGTTACTCCAGCACTTTGTATTTTGTCTGCCCTTAAGAAATAAACAGTCTTGATTAAAAAAAAAAGGCAGGAGCATCCCTCTGCATCAGTCAATCCATCATTACGGCGCGCTTCACAGCGAACAATGATTCAGGCTGCCGTCTGTACTTAAAGTTAGACATCTTAACAAGGCTATTCAAGAGCCTTCTATTATTTTGACGAACTAATCAGCAACCTGCGACGTCTCCACGGGATGCTCAGGAGACGGTTATTGAAAAGGAATAATCAAGTTTCATATTGCCTTACCGCCGGGCCCCTCCAGCAAACAAACACCCTCCAAAACCAGATTTCTCTCCCTCTCTTTCCCTCCTTCCCTCTCTCCCTCTCTCTCTCTCTCCTCCCTCCCTCCCTGTATGCAGAGCATCTCCAGGGAGTGGTAATGGATTGTGAGTAATGCTATCATCCCTTTCTCTGTCTCTCCACCTCCTCTGGTGTACCAGGGGGAGGGATGAAAACACTTGGAGGACTCGTGTCTGCCTCATTGTTTCTTCTAGTGTCTACAAGCAGATTCGGGGCCAGATAGGATTAGTACACTCTGTAGTGTTTGTCCCTGCTATCCTTCAGGGCTCCATTTGGGGTTTCAGAATGAGCCTTTTTAATGAGAAGCACTCGAGTCTCCGGCCTGCTCAGATATGGAATATGAACATAATAAGAGGCCGTTTTTAAAATGGAACTCCTATTAGAGCTCAGCAGAGGGAAACTTTCCTTTTTAATCCTCCACCTCATCCTATAATGCATACATGCAGGCTATTGATTTCTTATGGTAATTATTTCTCCTTATGGAAATGGCAAAGGCGATTCATTTTGGTCTATATCCACTAATGCTAAGAATAAACCACTCTGTACGCTTTAATATCCGCCCTGAATGGCATGAAAGAGCAACAGAAGTCATGCACAAATTATGAAAGCATTCAAGACAAACCAGCGCGTATAGATAGAGGAAAGAAAGAAAATGTGAGCCTTAGTTCAAGGAGGCTATCGTCAGACCTTTGTGAGCTTTTTACTGTAAAACAGCAGCTTTAGAGGTGAAATGTTGTGCAGCTCGAAAAGCTCTGCAACTGTAAAAGAGTAAAAATCCATATTTTACTCCATAAAACTTGCCTTTTTAATGTTAAACTGAGCATTTCTGCTGTTATATTTTTTAATTCTATAGATAAAATCAGCTCATAACGACCAAAAAAATCTGTTTTATTGAAAGGATTAAACCCAAAAACTCTGACCCCATCTCCTGTAGCACCACAGGGATCAGTGTCAGAATGATTATTACTGATTCATCCTGTCAAACTGTGATTTTACATCTTTTAATAATCAACAGTTGCGTTTTAAAAGGACAAATCTGTAGAGATTCAGGCTGCAGCTGCACCTCAGTTTTTGCAATGCAGAGAAGCGGCTCAGACTGTGCAGCTCTGCCCTCTGCTGGTCACCCTCTCACACTGCTCTCACTCTGACTGGTTTGAGATGCTGATCATTTATGCAACAGGAGTTCCCAAACTTTGCAGCCAGGGACCCCCAAAATAACACCCACCATCCCTGGAGGTGGTGAAGTGTCATTCACAGCTGCAGGAAAGCACCACCAGACCAATTTTAAAACCTGACATAAGAATTATGCAACTACGACAGCAATTTACAAAAGGCTACAAGCAGAATGGAAGTAATCTTCCTGCTGAGACTGGAGCACAGATAAGACTGTTTCATAAACAGACACACACAGGTGATGTCCATGTGTGTCTGTTTTATGCTGTAGACCTGTAACAATAATAACTAGTGGTGTCCCACCGCCACATCTGTGCATCACCCCCCAGCGCACGCCACCTTGTTGCCCTAACTGCCATCCAATTTGATAAAGATTTTACATTTTAGTATGAATAAAATGTCAAAGTATAGTTTGATAAAAAAATATCTTAGTATAGTATGATAGAAATTTTTAAATTTCAGTGTAAAAAATGTCAAAGTATAGTAAGAAAAAAATGTCTTGGTATACTATGATAAAATGTTCAAATTTTAGGATGATAAAAATGTCATATTTTAGTGTGAAAAAATTCATAGTAAACTATGTTACAAAAAATGTCAGTA